GGGAGGCGTTGGGCAACGGTTGAAATTGATTGATTTTTGATTTTTGAATAACGGCCACAGAGTTGCATTTCCTCTCCTTTAGAGGCAAATAGCGCACCGTTGGAAGAGTGGACGGGTGGTTCGGAGGGAGGTAAGCCCAGCCCGCTGCCCTAGGAGCGACCGATACTGGAGAGGTTTTGCTTTGCAGCGAGACCACTCCAGCCTCCGAGAGACTCGCCCAGTGAGGAGAGGGACAAACAAATCCACTCCCACAGTCCCGGCATGAGGCTGCGTGATTGAAGTCTGGCCAATCTTCCTCTCTTCCTACTCTCAATATGCGTGCCCTTGACACTGAGCTGCACATTCAAAGTTAAGTAAGCTGTTGCAGAGGATAATGACGGAGACGTCAATAAGTGCGGCTGACGACCTCTTCCAGTTTAGGAGAGAAAATGTCAGCAGGGCGAGATTGGTCGAGCAGGGCACGAGATGAGATGGCAACTCCTTCCGGGCGCGTCAAAGCAGCTGTCTGATGCTGCTGACAAGATTGCATCCGATTTATAGAGTGTGTGACGATGGAGGATACGATCCCATTCCCCACAACCTACATGGTGATCGCCGAAGGGTCAGCAACGCTCCGGCAGACAGGGCACCTTACCCCCTCCACAAAAATTGGAGCCCAGCCAATATTGAAGACAGGGGCGAACTCTTGGTCCAGGAGATGAAGGCCAACAGAGCAAAGTAACCAGCATTGAGCCAACAGCATGTGGGAGGCCGAGAGAGAGCCAAGGCCTTGAACGAACACCGGGGAGACTCGATGAGAAATCGAAGAGGCTTCATCGTATGAGACGGAGAGAGTACGTTGACGTAGAGAACATCATCTTCTGCGGAGAGGACCAATCTGGCAATCGAGGCTGCCATACCGAGGCCCTGACACAGGAGGGAGCAAGAGGAGGTGATGTGAATTGGCCGAGAATATCAGAGATGAAGGCTCGGACTGATGCAGCGACTAATGTAGGCGGCTGGAGCATGTAGTGCTGCCCGGCGAAGATTCAAGCCTCCCAGCTGCTCGGGAGGGAAGCCTTCAGCCATTTGACCAGTCTGGGAGGGGACAACGCCAGGTCAGATACAGCCTCCCTAATCGTGTTGTCGAAAGTTTCCAGTGCGGGTCGAATGAGTCCCAGGGCACATGTACGTAGGGCGAAGGCAATTTTTGGCAAGGAGAGACAGGAACGCAAGAGAATGGCTTCCATCTGCGAGTCATGGAGGTCTCGTAGGTTGATCAGAGACTCTTGGATCTTATTGACTCTCTTCAGGACAGAAGACTCACAGTAGGATGATGGGCCAATCGGAGAGCCCGGAGCTCAAAACCACCACTGCAAATTGGGACCCATCAGGAGTCGGTTTACAGCATCGATTAGACGAAGACAGCATCACGGAACAAAGAGAGAGATTTGCTCTGTTGAGGATGAGGCCTCGTGATGGTCCTGCTGACTCAATTATGGCGACGCAGCGAGAACCAATGTCGCTGAGGGAACCACAGAGGGTGCCATCATCAAGGTACCATGCGTTAATAAGCAGCTCCGGAACTTCCCTCTTGATCTGCTCAACAATACGGGTGGAGAGTGAGAGCAAACACATAGGGGACCCAAAGGATTCTCCTTGTTGAACTCCGCAACAGCTGAAGAGCCTGTGGTCTCCAAAATACAAAAGTGGTTGGGAACCGTAGCAGCTTTCTACCCACGCAGCCATGGAAGGAATCCGAGACCGCACCTCCTGGAACATACACCTCAATGGCGTCGGTATGTACCGCACGAGACACACACTTGGATGTTAAACGACGCAGGACTTCGCCCACAGCAATCGGGCGGAGACCTCCGTCTTCTTATTGCAGGCCAGGAGGGTGTAGCACCACAGAGGTACGGCAGGATTGCAGGTGGTGCACGGCCAGCACAGAGGAGATTAACCACACCCACCAGCCCTTCAAGAGCGGATCCAGCACTCTCAGGAGAGGAGCAGAACACAGCTTCCTTCACGTGGTTAGCTCTGAGACAAGATGGACCAGGGGCAGTACCAGAAGGAAAGGATCGAAGTGCATTGACCACATCTACAGTGGCCACTTGAACAGGAGGCGGGGCTTCGTCAAAGAAAAAGGGGACGCCCCGACTGAGGGTGCTTGGCCAACATCTCGTCCAGCACATCCTCGGATGGAGGAGCAAAACCTGCGGAAGATAAAGATTGAATAGCTTTCTTATATTGACCATTCTCAACGGCTCGTCGGGCACGTCCGGCGTTGGTAGAACTGGTAGATTCAGCAGAAGGGGGGGTGTTGGAAAGACGCTTCCGAGACCGTCGCTCCAAAAGAGTGGTTGCATCCACTGCGTCTCCCACAACCTCACACACTCTCCCGCCCTCCAAGCAGCGATCCGAGCCTGGATACATTTTTGAGTGTCACGCCAGTGTCGGCGGCCACCTCTTGGGGGATTGGCCAGAATGCACTTAGCTAGCATGAAGAACTTCACCCACACCACTTCGCTGGTAGGTTCAGAGCAGATAGCCCGGACCGCCTCCCCGAACACCCTTGCCCAGGCGACTCTTGCTGCTTTAGGGACGTGATGAAGTGTCGGAATTCGCAGTTGAAAAATGTCATCCACCGAGGGAAGGACAGGCTCGACACGCGGAAGGTCACAAGGGCCGTTTCCGGTTAGTGCGGAAGCAGAGGCCTGTTGACTGGAGGAGGAGAGAGGTATCGGGGATACTGCACCCACAAGAGGCACTGGTGGGGAGTCCGTGGAAGTGCAAACCGCCGCAGAAACAAGCGCGGTCGACGACGGGGCGCCCGTTGAACATTGGTTGGAACCGACAGGGTCCCCGAGATTGAGGCAAGCGCCCTGCCGGCCAGGGAGGCAACCACAGCAAGGACGCCCCTGCTTCACACAAAAACAGTTCTTGCATTTCCCAGAACGATTACACCGACAACAAACCATCTTCGGTGTAGCCTCTCGATCACTCACATATCACAAAACAGTCGGGACCTGCCAGTTTGTCCGTTATAACGCCATCTCGATCGAAACTGACGCTTCGCGCGTAGGTTAGACGCTTAACGTACGTTAAGTTCATGGAAACTGACGCTTCGCTCGTTTCTCTGCACTAAAAAGGTTAGACGCTGGAACGCTCTGGACCTACGTAAATTCAGAAACCCTCGGGCGATGTAGTACCCTCGCTGCGCTCGGGACACCACAGCTTCGCCCTCGGGTTTCTGAATTTACGTAGGTCCCTCGCTTCCAGCGTCTAACCTATATACAGACTACCTCTAAACTCACCGAAAGCGCTCGACGAGTCCATCTGCTGCACTCTCTCTCAAGTGTCACGTGCAATGCGCATACGCATACTAATTTCACTTATGCATAATTCGACATACACACGCGCACTGCGCTATAAGCGCTATATAGCTCTGACAAGCCACACCCTTCAGGGATGACATAATTCTTTTTACGTCACCGATGGGAAGCTCTAGTTAGCATGCGCACGGGGTTAGTGCCACACCCTTTTCGATGTGACCTAATTTTCCTTACGTCATTCATGGGAAGCTGCCATTTTTGCTTACTGAATATTCATTACCGATGACGTTAGGCCTATTGAGGAGCTGCGGCGCTTACTGAGCATGCGCAGAGTCATACGAGGCGCGAAATACAAACCTCCGTATCTCCGCCGGTTCTGCATCGGAAGCCGCGAGAGACGTGCGGTTGAACTGAGCGCTGAGAGAGGAGTCGATTGAATCGCTTTTTGCCGAGATTTGAATTTCTCCCGCATATTATAATTACGGTATCTCAATTTGAAAAGCATGTGATTTATAGTGATTTTTCGTTTTTTAGGCCTTGTTTTAAACTGATTATCATATTCATTTCCCTTCTCCATAGAGAAAACCCATGCGCAACTTCACGGGGATCTGCGCAATGGGGTTCCTCCATGTTCCAAGGTATACGCGTAGGCGTATTATAGTCACAAAAAAGGCGTACCCTGCGAGACAAATGTCACGATAACGTAAAATGTGCCGTGATCTCTGTTCTGCATGAAGCAGGAAGAACGCCACTGCGCTTAGTTGTGAGGAACCGTTCTCGTTCCCATAGAGAATGAAAAGCACTAAAGTGCAAAACCGTCGGCGGCGTGGAACCACCCTTGTGAGTTGGGCACATGCGTGGACGCAAACCACCCGTGTAGCATGTACTGCAGTACATGCTAGACGGGTGGTTTGCGGTTGCGTCTCCATCGGTCAGCCCCCTCTGCATACAACGCGCGGAATGTACGAGTGCTGATTGCCAGCTCAAAAAATATTTGCGACAAGAAGTCTATGCTCGAGCGCTGCCCTCTAAAAAATGAAACCCTGGCCGCTCAACGGTGCGCGAGATCATTGTGCGCAACCCGCCAGTGTAACACACGCATGCGTTTATTATTATTATTATTATTATTATTCAACACACCAGGATAGATGCAAAGCAGAGATACCCAATTAACGCGCCAGAAAAAATAATTTTATTAGAATGTATGGGGTAATTACCACGCGCCGTTGGCGCAAGAATAGAACGCCGCTTAGTAAATAGAACGTTCATGATACTTTTCCTCTTCCCCCCTTTCTGCAGGCAGTACGATGAATGCGGCTTTTCTTCAATGGTGGACTCTCATTTGTAGACTCCTCAGTGTCGGTGGAGGAGTAATCCACTAACTGACGGGTTGCCGGTTTGGCCGATGGTTTTCGAGGTCTACCCACTGGTTCGATCCTAAGCACAACGGGGTTAGTAGTATTAGTACCTTCGGAACTCTCGTTTGGTACCGCACCATCGCTACTCGATGGTTTATTGAAGTAATATTCCAGAGAACGCTGCATCTTTTCACAAACCAGCAGCCGCAGCAGTGGCACTGTACGTGTTCGTTCCAATTATCAACGCGGCAGAAAATAATATTTAAATTTTACCATTGGCGCACTATTAGAACTAACAATAAACTCTGACTTCTTGTTTGGCGCTCTATAAGAGCGCCGCCTTAATTAGAAAAAATACGGTAAGGTAAATAAGAAAAAGAATAACAGAAGCTCAGCACCAAAGCAGACCAGTGGCCGACTGGACTATGTCCCTTCGCCGGCCGAGGGCTTACGGGCTCCTGGACCGACCACTGGTCTGCTCACAGGAGAGGATAAGCGATAAGCATGACTAAACAAAAAATACAAATAACAAATCAACTTAGGAACATGATATATAGCAAAGTAACAATATCCTCACAAGGTGAACGTAATCCATAGAGTGACCTCAATTGTCTAATGATGTGAGCAGCAAAAAGGTCTGAATCCACGAAATGTCTATAATGATCATATCCATGAACAAAATATAACCGGTAAAAGTGTAAACATAATTGGAAGAATCAGAAAAAACAGATCTCACAAGGATGGAGGAAGTAGAGGTAGCATGAGAAAAGAAAGAACAGAAACGATCATACAGAATGTTACTGATTGTAGGTATTTGTGCAACGCTATGGACAATCCCAGTGTGTGACATGTTGCTGAGGTTCCATACTTTACGCAATACTTTATTCAGAGCAACCTCAATGAGTCTAATGGAAGGTGAAGAGAGTGACCAGAGGGTGATACCATACAATGATAAACAGTAAGACTTAATAAGAAAACACTTGACAAAGGGGTCGGCAGCAGAAAATTTACATAAAACGAAGTTAGCTTTGCGGTTGATATCTTTTATGACTCTGATGATGTCTTCTCTGTCGTCCAGGTTGTACGTGAGTATGTGTCCCAAGTGCAAAACTCTATCAAGATACTGCAACTTAGTGTTGTTGAACATGATACAAGGAAGCAGAGTATTTGACTTCCGTGCGCGAAAACAGATTAATTGAGTTTTGTCGGCATTGAAAAGTAGCCCATGAGAAGTTGCAAATGAATCACAGATACTCAGCATGCGTCGGAGGGCCGAAGCAGAGGGAGCCAGTAAAACAATATCATCGGCATAGCAGACAGCACCAGCAAAATGACCACCCCAATAACAACCAACATTACTATCACTCAACATATCTAGCAACTCATCCAAGTATACAGAAAACAAAACAGGAGAAAGCACACTTTATTTCTCGCTTCATGGAGGTAAGCGAATACTAATTAGCATATTGGCTTGTTAACTTCGTTTTCACGCCATAACTGTCGAACGCATTGCTTTTACGAAAATCGCTAAATTTAAAATCAAGCCGGTATAGCGCTGAACCTTTTGGTATCGCTCTTTCGTTGTCTCGTTGAGCGTGGTTGCAGAAGTCGTGGTAACAGACAGACAGAAAAACTTACCGACCAAGTAGCGTAACCCTCGCTGCGCATGTGCGCCGAGGGTTAATTATATGGATAAAAGTAACCATAATCCCTGAGTATTTTAGCCATTGTTTTAAAACCCCTATCAACCGCAGGAACTTAAGCCTGTAATCACGGTAACAGCCACATTTTTACATTAATACCAACTGAAGGGTGTTTTTTTGTTGCAATAATATAATACCATAATAGGCATTATTGGCACAGGCAGGGTCGTTTGGGGAGCACAGCCAGTCTAATAGAAGGACTGAAACAAGAGTTGGAAAGCCTGGGATGTCGTCTCTTCGCCTCTTAGCTCAACATGTGAAACTGAACAACTGAATTCAACAGCTAAAGATGATGTTCAGTGTAACCAAAGCTATATAGTGTTTAAAACAAAGGCGATTGTTCCTCGTACAATTTTAATAAATATGTCTAATTATAGTTTTTACTGTTATATAGCAATTCAGAGCTTTGATTCATGAAAGGCACTGAAATGCATGGTACTGCTAATTGATGGCCTGGGCTATGCGTTTCCTCGTTCCGTTGTCTCCCAGCTGGCTGGTATAATAGCTCATGGAGTATCGGAGCTACACTTGGAGATAGAACGCGGGACGCCCGCTTTTATGATTTCTTTTGGCTGCAAGGTATAAACACAGAGCAAGCGGATCAGGTTGAGGTAAACCGATCATGCACACTGGCTTTATCGCTTCTTTTCAGGGTATATATCTTCTGAATAATTTTCACGAAAATCATGTTTTATCACTTATAGGCTGCCTCGTAGCCTGTGCCAAGATAAGTATTGAAACACGCACACACACCAAGTATACACCGTAATCCTCGCTGCTCATGCGCACCGAGGATTAATAACAAATTTGTATAAAGGAAAAAACAATTCACACATGGATATAATTATACGAGATACTTTCTATTCACGACTACATGTGTAAGGTATGTATAGTTGTTTATATATTTCCCTGCAAAAACACATGTATAAGGTGTATAATGTTACAGTTTTAAGTTAACATAATTTCCAGCAAAATAAACGATAGGCAGCCCAGTAAACAGAACAATAAAACTTGATAAGAAACCAAACTTGAGGTAAGTAAGAAAGGTAAGATTATGTCCAATGCAACTCCTAGCCTTTTCCGCTACAATAAGGTTGGCGATGCTACCAATTAAGGTAAAGTTACCAGCAATCGTTGATACCCAGGCAAGTAGAACTCCGACCAGCTGAGAACAGTCCTCCTTTCCACAGTTGAAGGCATCAAGCCTTCCAATCAAAAGAATTACCAGAGGAACGTTACTGAGAATGTTTGAACCCAGGATCACAAAAACGGTAAAGAGCAAGACACCGCCAACAGTAGAGAGATCCATGTACTTTTGAATCTCATCAAGGGCTTTGCTTGGAAGGTAAGTGTTGGTAAAGCCAGCTAGCCACACGAAGAGTCCATAGAACATTAGGATCACAGGCCAATCAATTTCAATCATGACCTTCCTTGCGTGCTTGCAGTTTAGGATTGTGTCGGCAAGCATTGTGAAAACAGCAGCTCCAAAGGGAAGAAGACCGAGATTGAATTCAATATGTTGTTGGGGAGGAACAGCTAGCAGCCCAATCAACACAGTTGTTATTATAATCAACAATACAACAAAGGCCTTTCTGTTCCATGACCTTTTCTTGATCTCCTTTGTACTTCTATCATTGCCACATTGTGATATGCTGTTTTGACTTAAAAACACATTTCGCCTTGTAATTGCTTGATCCGAGTAATGTCCAAGATTTGGAAGTGAGGCACTGAACACATTTTCCCTATGCTTTTGGGAGAGCTTACTTTGTTCCCCCTCACTGTCATGGAGAGTTACTGTTTTGCTATGAGGTGCGTTGTGGGCCACGTTTCGATGTGCAGCAATGTCACTACCCCTAAATGGATCGCGACTATTGTCAAACTGTATCGAGGTTTCCAGTCTCTCTTCTGCTATCGAACTAGTTAATACACTCTCACCTTCACGTCTGTTTTCTCTCTCCACGTTAGATTCTCTCGAACCAAATATTACCTTGTAATAGATGGCATAAAGCAAACTTGTGTTTATTGCCAATCCGATGATAGCTGCTGGCAGAGAGGTGATAAAGAAAATCAGGAGAGAAAGGCCGGCAGTGCTGGCAATGTAAGCATTTTGTGGGTTTCCAAAGAATGTTGAAGCACTACCAATATTGGCAGAAGTTGCTATGCTCATTAGTAGTGGAACAATCTCCTTTTTGTCTCGTTTTTGATCAGTGTGCTCTGCCAGTAAAAGAGGAGTCATAACTACGCAAGTAGCATCATTGGTTATAAGTGCAGAGAGAGTTGCCGTGAGTATGCAAACTTTCCATAAGACATGCCTAAACGGTTTTCGCTTGCCAAAGATCCAGAGTGTGACAATGTGTAGCAAGCCCTCCCGATCATAGTAGTAAGACAAAGCCATCATACCTACAAGAAGACATATAGTTTGTATGTTTCCTTTATCACCAAGAATGCGAAAAACTTGCTCCTGAGGTGCAACAGTGAAAACAACCATCAGTGTAGCTCCAAGAAGTGCAGCTGCTGGCCTTCCAATTGGAAAGTACCTGATGTCCTGAACTATGAATGGCCACACTACCAGGAAGATTATAGTGCCAAAGACCTTCCTGAAAATTGTGTCTTGCACACAATAATCGTAGGGGCATTCACTTGTTGATTCGTTTGCAGTAGTTGAGTAATTGAAATCCGCATCTGCGTGGGGATAATTAACCAGCTAGGTTTGTGCGTGAGAAACGTTGCGCATAATTATAAAAACTTACTCAATGCCATCACTCCTCTTGACTCAGGATACCAGGTAGTTGGAGTTCTGTGGTGCAGCTCAAACTTGAATGATAGCCGCAGTTATACGCAGTAGCCTGCACTTAAATAGTCAGTCGCGCCCCTCATCTCGTGCTAAACGTACGGTTGAATGAACGAGGGGGGGGGGATAATATAGCTAGCTAGATATCCTGTGGGTGGCGTTTCAGTTAACCTACAAATGCGACAAAATCTTCGCGGATTAGTTATCTCCAACCGTGAATATTCGGTATGACTGTTAGCCTCGCCGCGCGCCGCGCGGGAGAAGGCCTGGTGAAATCCGAAATCGGAATTCCTGCAACACCAATCAGATTGCAGGATTTTGCACAGCACGTAAATACACGTTGTCGCGCGAAACGGGATTGGTTCGCACTGTCTTCTACTCTACCGCGCTCGGGTCTTTTCCCCGGTTAAGACTGCGCCCGGTTGCCTAACCCCAGTTACAGACAGTGTGGCGTTGACTGAACTCTGAGGGCACTGGCAGTTCACCGTGTCACTAGCTACACTCTTCCCATATACGCTCTCTCTCGCGCCGGCTGTGGGTAGGACTCTTGAGTCAAAGAGACTCTACAGTAACTCTCGGTACATTGTGGAGTCTTTGCCACTGGCAAAAGCCTACATTGAGACTCCATCGAGTGGTGTAGTGCACGCACACCCCCGCATAATGTCAGCCTATTAGTATTATTATATAATGCCACATTCCCTATAAGAGTAGCACACCAGGCAACAAATATGGGGATTGTGTGAGGGGTTGGGGGTGTCAGCGTGCTCAAATCTGTTCATTAACCATGCTTCATGCATCCCATCACTATCTTGTCTCCCTTTCTTTTTATACCATCCCTATATGCCTCTTATATTAAATTCACAGGATTTTTTATTTACTTGTAAACTAAGGTTACTAGATGAAATTTTTATTTAGCTATACAATCTCAAAATCTGAAGGAGTATATTATACAAATCAGTGAACTAGGGATAGAATTATGAACTGCGATTAAAGCACCTCCACCACGAGACACCCGATCATTGTGATACAAAACATAATTAGAATGAAGAATTTCATGATCATAGATAGAATTAGATAACCAAGACTTAGTTATACAAAAAAAACATTGATATTGGAAGCATACACGAAGGATTAAAATTTAGATAATTTATTGACGACGCTACGTGTTGTAAAAAGCAGAAGCGGAAAATAAGGAAATGGCATGTAGACAGATTTTCGGATGAAGGGGTTAGTGCGAAGTATAGTGTGGCCTTGAAATCGGATGTTGAATCATTTTCAGAGAGCATCAGGGAGAAAGTGAGTGAGGGTATTAGTGGAAGTGGGTTAGTCAGTGCAGTTGTAGAGGAGTGGGAGCAAGTTGTAAAGAAGGTGGCAAAAGCTGAGGTAGGAGAGAATGTAGTAGTGTGTGGCAGGGCAGTCAGGTGGTGGCATGACGAGATTAAGCAGAAGATAGAGCAGAGAAGGAACGCTTACAAGAAAACTCTTGAGGGTCAGGATAATCTATGGGAGGAATAATTATAGTAAACTGCGTAGGGAGGTGAAGAATTTAGTTGTTCAAAAGAAGCTTGAGGTTTGGAATGAGGTAGTGGAAAGAGAAAATTCAGATTTTGAAAGTAATAGGAAATATTTTTGGGCATTTGTTGGTAGAAGGACAAAGGGTAAGAGGAGGGGGGGGTTAAAGCTTTGAGGAATAGTGCTGGAGTATCAGTGACTATGTGCAAGCTAGAGGTGTTAAAGAGGCATTATCAGCAGTTGGGCACTTGTTAGTGTTAATACAGCTTTTGATGATAGTTGAATGGAGGAAGTGGATAAGAAAGTGTGTGAGTTTTCTAACCTTCCAGCAGTTTGAGTATTGGATAGGGAAATAGATTTGGAGGAGATAGCGTTGGTGTTAGGAAGTTGAAGAATAACAAGACTGGTGGTAGTGATGGGCTTGTGGGGGAGCTTCAAAAGTGTGGTGGGTCAGGGATGGTAACAGTTGCTGGCGTGAGGAGTTTATGCCACCACAGTTTGTTTGCAGATGACTTTCGCTAGGGAGTTAGTGGATGGCGCTTGGAAATGGGGGAGCATGTTTTGCCTAGAGTATCTAAATAATTGAGTGTTGGTTTTACAAGTATTGGTGCGTGGGATGTGCATACAAGTGGAAAAATCATTTCTTCAAAATGAAGGGGGATGTAGGGATGGTGTAAATTATAAAAAAGGATACCAACAAGAGCATCCTTCAGCCGAAAACAAAAATCATACATCCATCCCTACATCTTTCTTTCGTTTGCTATGTATAAAAAATGTGTGGTTACTTATAAAGTTCAGAACATAATTACTGTGGTGAGTAAAGAAAGATGTAGGGATGGATGTATGATTTTTGTTTTCGGCTGAAGGATACTCTTGTTGGTATCCTTTTTTATAATTTACACCATCCCTACATCCCCCTTCATTTTGAAGAAATGATTTTTCCACTTGTTCCACCTTTTTTGCGCATGCTCAGCCACGCCCAGCCCTGCAGAGCGAGGGGGAGGGGCTACTGCACGCAGCTAACTCTAGGCTTGTATATACCCAGACCTTGTCGGTGTCCCTTCCCTCTTTTCCTCTATAGAGAGGGCGAGTAATGGCGACGAGACTAATGACGGCATGGAGCGACAATGACGGCCCCAGAACCTAAGCTGGCACTGAGCTAGCTGCTATAGCTACGCCCCAGACCTTTGGGCAGAGGAATTTCACATTAGTGGTTTGCTCTAAGTGGGTGTTAACATAGCATGGATCATCAATGGGTGGAGCGCGAGACTATAATAGTCCACGGCGATCGAAGTGCGCGGCCGGCCACGCTAATCGCCTTGCGGGCGTTAATTGCATTTTAAGACCCGCGCCTGCATTCCAGCTGCTGCTCTTGCGCCCCTTTCCTCCCTCCCCCGCACAATTAGAGGAAAGGGGCTGGGGCCGAGACTAATACATGTGAGAGATTTGGGGATCTCGCCCGTTCCGAGGCTATTAACCATTCCACGAACGCCCGCGTAAGCGACACGCGAGTACACACTCAAATGTAGAAAACACCGCCCCGGCCCCCCGGCCCTCTCGCGCTCTCGATTGTCTATTTAAAATACGCGCGTGCTTTGGAGGCGCGCGCGCCCGGCCGCCGTCGGGCCACCGCGCACCCCGCTCGCCCGCCAGCGGCCGCGTGGCGATATAATTATAGCCAGAGTGTAGTACTACGTAGTGCCGCCGATCGTGCTGGCTGGATAGAGCAGTTCGTCGTTTCATACAAAAGATTTCTCGGCTTCTGCTTCGACGTACAGTCTGTGATACTGTTGCAGGCTGTCCCGCTGTTGTGGCAGTGTAACTTTTGAGTCAAAAAATTCTTTTCACTGGAGGTAGCTATATAAATCAAACTATTTTTGATCGGTATCACGGTGTATACGTTAAAAAAATCTTTTTCTCAGAAAGAATTAACCTTGTCCCTATCTTGCACGGCCAAAGGTTGGCAGAGGTATGAGCTATGCTGCCAGAGGCGGTTGTCACACGCATAATTGTGACGGGGCAATGAGACGTAGCATGCGGTTAGCGCTAGCGCCACTTGGGCGGCCGCGCCATAAAAGAGCCCGCGTGCGCCGGCATTTGACTCCCTGCTGCTGCATTGCGCAAACCTTCGATTCAGAAAACAACTACGCCGAAACCATGTCCTCGAACGACTTTGATGTTCTCAAGACCCTGTGGACCCAAGTGAACAACGTATGCGTTCCGCCGCCACCGCCTGGTCAGTCTGCGAAGGCATTCTTCCTGATGGAGATGCCTGGGTTCTCGGTGGATCCCAACGCCTTCGATCCTTCCAAGTTCAAACCTGGAATTATGATGAGTCCCGACTGTGCGACTGCATCTCTGTGCGATCGCGTCCCTGCACTCGCTCCGTACTTCTACGACACGGGGAATCACATTTCGTTCTTCTGGAATATGCTACTGGAGACCTTTACTGTCGAAGGAGATTTCGACAAGAAAAACGCCGATGTCCTAGCTCGTTACGAGAGGGCGATCGAAATGCTTTATGGCAGTAAAGAGGGCTACATAAAGCAAGAGAAAACGCCCTTGTATCAAGGCATGTCAAAATTGCGCGACGAATGGAAACGCGCCGAAAGGAACAAGGACAATTTCAAGAAAAAATGCATGGAGGATGAAGAAAATTGGCCGGGCAACTACGAGAAAGGCGCAGCTCCGTTCGTTGATGCGGTGGAGCAAGCGTACACCGAGTACAACAACTTGAGTCTCCAAATAGATAAGTACGAATCTGCCATTTTCGCCTACGCAATAGGCGACCTCAACACCGTTTTACTTGACCAAGAAATCAGTAAGCTTTCGTACTAACAACTATTAGCAATAGAAGAGTGGAAGCTATGGTCAAAACGAGTAGTTAGCTACACAGTGTTTAATTGGCGAGCGAACCTGTAGTCATTCAATTCTCCCTCGCCAAAAATGTGTTGCATTTTTATGGAGTCATTTAGATTAAACATTTGGCCATACCTTAAAAGTTTTGTGAATACCAGACAATTTCACTGATTATAGCTATGATTGCTTTTGTTTCAGAGATGGCGCAGCACCGCCGAGATGACGCTGGAAATACTGGGGCCACATTCTACCAGGTCACTCTCCAACCAGGCAACTGGTACAAGTGGTTTGGCAGTGGCGGTGATGAAGATTCAAAAAAAGACCCAGAAGATCCCTCCGTGAAGGATGCCGATGAAGATCCCAACACTGGATGGACTGTGGTATAATGAAAGGGGCTATCCTCAAAACAGTTAAAGAGTGATATATATAGATCATCTTAAAGGTTTTCCTGGTCGACTGCTGTTGTATACAGCTAGCTTCCTGTTGATGTAGCAAACACGGGGAAAAAGTTTGAAGACTAACATTTCCCCCCTTTGTCCGAGAAGGAGTAGCAGCTACATTTTAATTTTGTGGTGCCAGTATAATTGTGACCTGTCACGCGAAAAGGGTACTATCCTCTGGAAAAGTAATGTTGAGAAATTGCGCTTTAAATAGAGTACCTTCTTTCGCTTAAATAGAGCATTCGACAAGCGTATAATATTATCTGGCGCGCACACCGCGTGATGGCTACTTTCTCCTTTTCACCTGCAACTGAGGAGGAGTTTCAGGCTTGTGAAGCGGAATATACCTCAGGAAATCAAGCTACAGAGGGTTTTGAGGAAGGTGAATCCTCCAGCGACGAAGAAGCAGCTACTGTTGCGCCTACCGCGGATGAATCGGCACGGGGCTCAACCAGCGGCACGGACGATGTTAGGCAAGTGGATAAGCTAGAAGATCAGCGAGTGAACGCTATGGTTAACAGATCATGTGGATGCAAACTGGGACCAAAAGGTACTGCTTGCTCCGCCCAGTTCTCGCGCGAAACTGTTACAACGCAACGTGAAGACTGTCTTACACTCGACAAAGAATCACTTGACATGCTAGTATTGGGGCAATTGCAGGCACACGCAGCCGACACTTCCAGCGAAGGTGCATCTAGGCAGAAATATGTGATTTTCTATTTTAAGGGAAAGCGTATTTGTCGCAAATTTTTCATGTTCATCCACACACTAAGCCAAAAAAAATACCGTAACCTCTTCGAACATTACTGTTGTAATGGGACACTTCCGAGGGAACATGGAAATCTGCACAGAGCTCCACACAATCGCATTCAGTTTGAGGATGTGAAGGATGTGATATCATTCATTGAGAAGTATGCAGAAGTGCATGCTATGCCTCTTCCTGGGCGACTACCAAATTATAAATCTGATAAGTCTCTCTTATTACCATCTAATGCCTCGAAAGTGAAATTTACCGCCAGTATGTGACTGCAAAGGAAGCCGAGTGTAAACCTCGTGTGTCTTGGGCAAAATTTCATGTAGTCTGGCGAGACACCTTGCCCCATATTGATACCATGAAACCTGCATCTGATCTATGCTTCGAGTGCCAGACAAACATGCGTTTAATTCAGGAGTCTGCGAATATGTCTGAGGAAGATAAGTTCAAAAGAATTAATGCTGCAGAGGTGCACCTTAGAGCAGCTAAAGGTCAGCGGGATCACTACAATGAACAGTGCAGGCAGGCAAAAATTGAGCGTGATTTTTATAGGGAAATGTCAGGTTCCACTTATGAGGGAACAATGCATTATAGTTTTGACTATGCCCAGAATGTAACGTATCCCTCTAACCCTCAGCAACCAGGCCCAGCTTACTTCAAATCAGCAAGAAAATGTGGCATTTTTGGGGTGTCATGCGAGCCTTTATCTTTCCAAGTAAATTACTTGATAGACGAAGGAGATGACCCGGGGAAAGGTGCTAATGCTACCGTAAGTATGTTACATCACTTTCTGGAGACCTACACAGTCGGTGAGAAGCATTTGAGGCTTCATGCTGACACTGTGTCGGCCAAAATAAAAATAATATTTTGATGGGTTACTTAATGTGGCATATATTAACTGGCTTGCACAAGACAATAGAGATATCGTTTATGATCAGGGGTCATACAAAATTGCTCCAGATCGTTTTTTTGGTCTTATAAAGAAAAGATTCAGACACACCTTTGTTTCTACTTGGATGAGTTAGTGCAGGTAGTTAAAAATTCTATGGTTACCGGGAAAAATATCCCCCAACTTACTAAGAGTGAAAATTCCAGGCTGTGTTTTGGTTAGATTGGAAATCGTATCTTACCAAGTATCTCCATGCAATACCGAAGATAACCGATTACCATCACTTCCGTTTTGACGAGAGTTCACCTGGAGTGGTGTTCGTGCGGGCTTTAGCAAATGATCAGGAAACAGAAGTTAGGATCTCACCTGCGAGTACTACATTCAGTGGTTTACCTGCTGAGATTACACCCAAAGGATTAGACATCACAAGACAGTGGTATCTCTATAACGAAATTCGACAATTCTGCTCTACACCTGAGACTGCAACTCTTACCTGCCCTCTGCCAACTTCTCAACGGCCCTCCACCAGTACTTCAGAAGAGCCAAACACTACTTCAAAGAGAAAACGGGCTTGTAGCAACTGTCACCAAGAAGGCCACACAAAAACTAAACGAGGGAAGATAACTTGTCCAAGCCTCCTCTAATAACTGAATTTTATATCCATAATGAAAACATTTCATATGACATACTACCTGTGAAATTAAATGTTTATCATTACTGGTTGGTCTGCCACAAAAATGTCAAAAATTTTAATTCTTCGGATAGTACCCTTTTCGCATGACAGGTCACATATAGTAATGACACACTCGATCACACGCAGCACACACCTAGTTTACAACCACTGACTAGCACCGATGCATAGGTGTGGGCATTGTAAGCACACTTACCTCAGGTACTGATATCATTGTAGTGATCGTGGTCAAATAGCTACTGTTGTTTTGCCTTTTCTCGCTAACACAGATCAATATCACTCAGTCACGTTTGAGTCAGAGTACTGAAGACTCCTACAGCAAGGTGTCATTTGAAGCAGGGGGATCTTACGGAGGGCTGGTGAGCGCGTCTGGTGGTTACAGCGATGAAGAGGGGAGCAGCAGTCTGGCAGTGAGCGGGTCTAATCTCACCATCTCGTTCAAAATCCGGAAAGTGACCATCCAGCGTCCGTGGATGGATCCTGCCATTCTCCATTATCCCATTGTTGGCATCAAGGGTCTACCATCTGGTGCATGGTCGTCTGGGGAGCTAGATAGCAAGACCAACAATGGCTCCTTCCCACTCCTTCCAACAGCTATGATAGTGGCCAAGGATGTTGTCATCACCTCCGACAAATTTTCAGAGTCTCTTAAAGAAAGTTACAGTGAGACATCTGCTCATGCTTCTGTGAAGGTATCAAAGCTTGATAAAATACTTGTAATGTTTGAACATATTTTCTCTTCAGGTGGGCATTGGTCCATTTAGTGCTAAAGGGAACTTTGGGTACTCCAGTGGCTCAAAGAGTTCTAACTCTGACATGTCCAGTGATGGCAAATCAATTAGCATTCATGGAGCTCAGATCATTGGCTGGGTCTGCGTTGTTAACCCTTACTTCCCTCATGTTGATTGCAAGTAAGTATGTAACAAGTCATAATTTTGATGAAAGATCGGTGAATAAGAGAGTGACAATTTCACTTTCCATCCCATGCAGATTGACACCAAAGAAGTAGATGGTTTCCAGTTGTACCAATAACTGACTCTGAAAACATTTTTAGTCATTCTATTAGCTGGGACAATGATAGAGACTTAGAATATTATTAGCGAATTTTATACATGATAGATGTTTCCGTAGCTAGAAAACTTATAGTAAATTGATCCGTATAGATATATTCACACATGGAAGTGTGAGAGAGGGACCTATCTGGTGCGCGTATGACTATCTTCTGTACCAATTATGTTCTGTACCCGAGAGAGCGCTGTGAGTGTGAGTAGTTCAGCTGCACAGCCATAACTACCGTAACAAGGACTTGATACATGGATAAGGGAGCTAGTCAGTGCATTAGGGTTAAATGCGGCAGCAAAGAAGCAGAGTTCTATCCCCAGAAATGTAGAAAGTCTAGGGAAACCATATCAAATTGTATCAAGTATAATGGTCGGTGGCTAAACCCATTAGAATTTGAGAGAAAACGTCAAGTATGAAGGAAAACCTATTGGTAAATGGCTTACTGAGCAAGATTGTGACCCTAGTTCTGAAAGAGGTCTGATCGACCCTGATATCCCGCCACCCTCAACAGCGTCACAAGGTGCAAACACAGACAGGGTGTCACCTGTTAGTGTGGGTATAGACGAAAGTCCTATATACACTTTATACAAGTGTGGCTGTGTCAGTTTCAAACCATAATACAGGAGCAGATGACCTGTATGAGACAACATCACCCATTGTGTCGGAAAATGTGGGAGAATCTCCTGAACATCTTAAGATTTCAGAAGAGCTAGAATCACAATTAGCAGCCACTGTCAAGAGAATTGTTGAGCAGGCTCTTTTCAGTTTCAAAGTAAAAGTGCAAAAATAGGTTCTGTTGTTAAAAAACACAATTGTTGCTCTTACTAGTAGCTTGCTGTTGGAGTAAACCTCGGAGTAAACCGCCATAACCAGCGTTTGTAGTATAGCATGGCATAGGTTTCCAGAGTGCTCCACTTCATCCTTCCCTCCTTCCTCATCTCCCCCTCCTAGAAAGTTACCTGGTTGGGATGACTCCACTAGAAAGCTGCACGACTTGTCTACTTTCTGGCATAAAGTTTGGGTTGAAGCTGGCTGTCCTACTTCGGGTGTTCTCAGTTCTATCAAGCGCTGTGCAGTAATGCAGGGCAGTACCATTAGAGAGGTAAGCTAGCAAGACCAAGGCATAAAAGGGTGACTCGGCCTTGAGAACCAGGGATGGTGGATTAAAGAGTCTTTTATCACCGGTGAACTCTCCCCACTCACCTAAGCCTTTCTCACAGTCATACTGCCCACGGAGTAGTAAAATCACCGAAAACACACCTCAATATCGACAACAGCACAGAAACGGAATGACAGAGAGACCAAGAGCAAGCAATATATAACGCAGGCCAACAGGAAGCAAAGCACAGTGAGATCCTTCCTCTAAAGGAACGTAGGGCCAGCCAGAATTTACAACTGATGTCTCCGTGTGGTTACGTGTCGGTACAAGGATGGTCGTCCAATATACAGGCCACATATGCGTTCATAAACATGTCTCTTCAGACCAACGTTGTATCTATCTATTAAATGTATGGCTGTGAAAGCTTGTGCCCTTGTGAGCTACTGGTGGTTTCGTCCGAATAGCTGTCACCATACCGTGAATGCTATAAGCCTTGACCCCAGGCTCTCCTTCCTCCACGCACACATCTATTGCGAGCGAGAAAATATGTATTACCTTTGACCCTTATACCCAGGAATTGGAGGGATTGCCTGGTTTAAAACAGCACGTGAATTACTTTGAGGGTATTAGCTAGGTTGAAGGTGTTAGTGGGCAGTAAGCGTAAATCTCACTTGCATTTACATTTGTTCTATACCTACTCTTTGATGTACCGGTGTAGGAAAACAAGGCCTGTTTGGTATATGGAACATCATCATTGTCCAATATGTATCCCATTGTGTTGACACACTCCCCTCGCTCCCCAGGCTTTTTACCTAAAACTTTTCAAGGGTTTCCAGACCTTCTTCCTAGGGTCGACTACACTGGTGTAGCTGGTCATTTCATTCTTCCACTCTTGTCAACTGGTGTCAATTTTTAGCAGAAATACCTCATTCCCACATGCAGTGTTCCAGTGGGTGTGTTCATGCATGGCCTGGAGAGAGGGCTGGTGAGCCAGGACCAGAGAGATGAGATCAGGAAAAGAAAATCTGACCAGTACAGACTACGGCAACTACAGTGGTAGGCCATTGTGGGACGTTATTAAGATTCCGTAAAGTGTGTGGACGTCGATGTTTCAAGTAGCTTTAATATGTTTTCGATAGCACTGCTGAAAAGCATGTGATTTATAGTGATTTTTCGGGTTTTTTTAATTAGCATATTCATTTCCCTTCTCCATAGAGAAAACCCATGTGCAACTTCACGGGGATCTGCGCAGTGGGTTTCTCCATGTTCCAAGGTATATACGTGCAGGCGTATTAAGGCCTATCATATAGTCGCAAAAAAGGTGTAGCCCCTGCGAGACAAAATTAATGTCACGATAACGTAAAATGTTGCGTGATCTCTGAATGCACTTCTGCATGAAGCAGGAAGAAAGCCACTGCGCTTAGTTGTGAGGATCCCATAGAGAATTATAATAAATGGAGAAAAGTAACCATAATCCATGAGTATTTTAGCCATGTTTTTAAAACCCCTTCAGAATTTTGATTCATGAAAAGCACTGAAATGCAAACAATCGGCCCACTATAGAAACATCGAATGCATGGTACTGCTAATTGATGGCCAGGGCTATGCGTTTCCTCGTTGAGTGGTCTCCCAGCTGGCTGGTATAATAGCTCATGGAGTGTCGGACATGGGCTAGGAGATAGAATGCGGGACGCCCTCTTTTATGATTTCTTGTGCCTCCAAGGTATAAACACAGAACAAGCGGATCAGGTTGAGGTAAACCAGCCCGATTATGCACACTGGCTTTTTCGCTTTCACGAAAATCACATTTTATCACTTATAGGCTGCCTCGTAGCCTGTGCCAAAATAAGTACTGAAACACGCACACAGACCAAGCATAAACTGTAATCCTCACTGCACATGCGCACCGAGGGTTAATAACGGAATTTGTATAAAGGAAAAAACGATTCATACATGGATATAATTATACGAGATAATTATAGTTACACTCTTCAGGACCACATGTGTAAGGTATTTCCCTGCAAAACCACATGTGTAAGGTGTATATGTTACAGTTTTAAGTTAACATAATTTGCAGCAAAATAAACGATAGGCAGCCCAGTAAACAGAACAATAAAAGTTGATAAGAAACCAAACTTGAGATAAGTAAGAAAGGTAAGATTATGTCCAATGCAACTCCTAGCCTTTTCCGCTACAATAAGGTTGGCGATGCTACCAATTAAGGTAAAGTTACCAGCAATCGTTGATACCCAGGCAAGTAGAACTCCGACCAGCTGAGAACAGTCCTCCTTTCCACAGTTGAAGGAATCAAGCCTTCCAATCAAAAGAATTACCAGAGGAACGTTACTGAGAATGTTTGAACCCAGGATCACAAAAACGGTAAAGAGCAAGACACCGCCAACAGTAGAGAGATCCATGTACTTTTGAATCTCATCAAGGGCTTTGCTTGGAAGGTAAGTGTTGGTAAAGCCAGCTAGCCACACGAAGAGTCCATAGAACATTAGGATCACAGGCCAATCAATTTCAATCATGACTTTTCTTGCGTGCTTGCAGTTTAGGATTGTGTCGGCAAGCATTGTGAAAACAGCAGCTCCAAAAGGAAGAAGACCGAGATTGAATTCAATATGTTGTTGGGGAGGAACAGCTAGCAGCCCAATCAACACAGTTGTTATTATAATCAACAATACAACAAAGGCCTTTCTGTTCCATGACCTTTTCTTGATCTCCTTTGTACTTCTATCATTGCCACATTGTGATATGCTGTTTTGACTTAAAAACACATTTCGCCTTGTAATTGCTTGATCCGAGTAATGTCCAAGATTTGGAAGTGAGGCACTGAACACATTTTCCTTATGCTTTTGGGAGAGCTTACTTTGTTCCCCCTCATTGTCATGGAGAGTTACTGTTTTGCTATGAGGTGCGTTGTGGGCCACGTTTCGATGTGCAGCAATGTCACTACCCCTAAATGGATCGCGACTATTGTCAAACTGTATCGAGGTTTCCAGTCTCTCTTCTGCTATCGAACTAGTTAATACACTCTCACCTTCACGTCTGTTTTCTCTCTCCACGTTAGATTCTCTCGAACCAAATATTACCTTGTAATAGATGGCATAAAGCAAACTTGTGTTTATTGCCAATCCGATGATAGCTGCTGGCAGAGAGGTGATAAAGAAAATTAGGAGAGAAAGGCCGGCAGTGCTGGCAATGTAAGCATTTTGTGGGTTTCCAAAGAATGTTGAAGCACTGCCAATATTTGCAGAAGTTGCTATGCTCATTAGTAGTGGAACAATCTCCTTTTTGTCTCGTTTTTGATCAGTGTGCTCTGCCAGTAAAAGAGGAGTCATACTACGCAAGTAGCATCATTGGTTATAAGTGCAGAGAGAGTTGCCGTGAGTATGCAAACTTTCCATAAGACATGCCTAAACGGTTTTCGCTTGCCAAAGATCCAGAGTGTGACAATGTGTAGCAAGCCCTCCCGATCATAGTAGTAAGACAAAGCCATCATACCTACAAGAAGACATATAGTTTGTATGTTTCCTTTATCACCAAGAATGCGAAAAACTTGCTCCTGAGGTGCAACAGTGAAAACAACCATCAGTGTAGCTCCAAGAAGTGCAGCTGCTGGCCTTCCAATTGGAAAGTACCTGATGTCCTGAACTATGAATGGCCACACTACCAGGAAGATTATAGTGCCAAAGACCTTCCTGAAAATTGTGTCTTGCACACAATAATCGTAGGGGCATTCACTTGTTGATTCGTTTGCAGTAGTTGAGTAATTGAAATCCGCATCTGCGTGGGGATAATTAACCAGCTAGGTTTGTGCGTGAGAAACGTTGCGCATAATTATAAACTTACTCAATGCCATCACTCCTCTTGACTCAGGATACCAGGTAGTTGGAGTTCAGTGGTGCAGCTCAAACTTGAATGATAGCCGCAGTTATACGCAGTAGCTTGCACTTAAATAGTCAGTCGCGCCCCTCATCTCGTGCTAAACGTACGGTTGAATGAAAGAGGGGATAATATAGCTAGCTAGATATCCTGTGGGTGGCGTTTCAGTTAACCTACAAATGCGACAAAATCTTCGCGGATTAGTTATCTCCAACCGTGAATATTCGGTATGACTGTTAGCCTCGCCGCGCGCCGCGCGGGAGAAGGCCTCCGAAATCGGAATTCCTGCAACACCAATCAGATTGCAGGATTTTGCACAGCACGTAAATACACGTTGTCGCGCGGAACGGGATTGGTTCGCACTGTCTTCTACTCTACCGCGCTCGGGTCTTTTCCCCGGTTAAGACTGCGCCCGGTTGCCTAACCCCAGTTACAGACAGTGTGGCGTTGACTGAACTCTGAGGGCACTGGCAGTTCACCGTGTCACTAGCTACACTCTTCCCATATACGCTCTCTCTCTCGCGCCGGCTGTGGGTAGGACTCTTGAGTCAAAGAGACTCTACAGTAACTCTCGGTACATTGTGGAGTCTTTGCCACTGGCAAAAGCCTAGATTGAGACTCCATCGAGTGGTGTAGTGCACGCACACCCCCGCATAATGTCAGCCTATTACTTACGCAACGTTACGATATTGCGGTTGGAACCTGGGCTGGAGTATTATAGTCTCAGAGGAGGTTGCGCACAATAAACGTTCCTAAGCTGTCCGCGCATGCAGTTATAATGTAATCAAATATCGTAGCTGCGAAAGAAAGTGACTCTAGCTGTTGTTCAGGCGGGCCAAGACCTTGCTATCTCTCGACTATTTATATGTCCAAGTATGTACCACGGAGAACACTCGTAGCCTTGCAAACGCCAGTGTGCCGTTCTGCGAAAGTGCTGACTGGGTTGCGTGGGCGAAAATACGACTCTAAGGCGCACGTGACGCAAGCGGTGACGCAAGCGATGACGCGCTTGCACAACCTCCGGCCTCTGCACGATCTGCTGGAGTATAATTATAGTCTGGTTCAATTCCCAGCCCCTTCCTTTTGTGGGCATGCGCGAGAGAGGGAAGGACGGGTGTATTATATTATACACTTGGGACATGAACAAGTAGTGGGTACTACACTGCAACGTAGGGACGGTCATGTGTGCATACATTATATTATACTGACTGGCACAAGGCAAAAGGTCACTCCTCTTTTTCCTAACCGAAAATACACCAGGATTCGTGGGATGGCAAGCCTGAAATATGGGAATGGCCCTCTCCAACTAATCTAAAGGCTTATGGGTAGCACCTACATAAGCAGTGACGTATGTACAGATCCGAGGTTATAAATAATGTACTGTTGGTTTTTAAAACCATTCAGAGTAAACTAACGGTTCTTTCTTAAAGGAATGTCACAAAGTAGTTCAATACACAATACACTATGTCTATACCAACGTATGAACAATTGAACAAACAAACTAAATAATGAGATTAGCTCACCTCCTAGAGCTCCAGTTCAGAAGTCAATCTCATCCAGGAGGTCACCAAACATCGGATTCTCCCTCACATCACTACCCTCAACCTCCCACCTCCCCCCTCCCCCTCCTCCTCCCTGATTTCCCTCCCACCTCCACTGAGTTCAATGACGGAGAGTCTGGTGCAGTGTTCGCAGTAGGCAGGTGAGGTTCGTCCATAGCGAGGGGACGGGGGCTTGGTGTAAGAGTGAATGGCCCCGCCGTGGTGTCTCCTACGACATCGCTGCGAGATGTTGTGGTGTGGGGCCATTGTTATCACCTGTACAATGGCACAATGGGTTTTCAAGATAATATCATGTTTTCCTGGTGTCATCATAATGCACCAACATGTGTGTAAGGCAGAGAGTTTCGAGTACTACAGTGCGGGTTGTCAGTAGATACACTTGGGACATGAACAAGTAGTGGGTACTACACTGCAACGTAGGGACGGTCATGTGTGCATACATTATACTATACTGACTGGCACAAGGCAAAAGGTCACTCCTCTTTTTCCTAACCGAAAATACACCAGGATTCGTGGGATGGCAAGCCTGAAATATGGGAATGGCCCTCTCCAACTAATCTAAAAGCTTATGGGTAGCACCTACATAAGCAGTGACCTACGTACAGATCCGAGGTTATAAATAATGTACTGTTGGTTTTTAAAACCATTCAGAGTAAACTAACGGTTCTTTCTTAAAGGAATGTCACAAAGTAGTTCAATACACAATACACTATGTCTATACTAACATATGAACAATTTTTTTATCACCTGTACAATGGTACAATGGGTTTGCAAGATATTATGTTTTCCTGGTGTCCCTCCTCCCTGATCTCCCTCCCACCTCCACTGAGTTTAAGGACGGAGAGTCTGGTGCAGTGTTCGCAGTAGGCAGGCGAGGTTCGCCCATAGCGAGGGGACGGGGGCTTGGTGTAGGAGCGAATGGCCCTCTCATTATTAATTTGTTTGTTCAATTGTTCATACGTTGGTATAGACATAGTGTATTGTGTATTGAACTACTTTGTGACATTCCTTTAAGAAAGAACTGTTAGTTTACTCTGAATGGTTTTAAAAACCAACAGTACATTATTTATAACCTCGGATCTGTACATATAGGTCACTGCTTATGTAGGTGCTACCCATAAGCTTGACAAAGACCCTCCCCTTTGTGCTGTTGTGTCGGGGAAGGGTCTTGCTTGAGAGGGCCATTCCCATATTTTAGGCTTGCCATCCCACGAATCCTGGTGTATTTTCAGTTAGGAAAAAGAGGAGTGACCTTTTGCCTTGTGCCAGTCAGTATAATATAATGTATGCACACATGACCGTCCCTACGTTGCAGTGTAGTACCCACTACTTGTTCATGTCCCAAGTGTATCTACTGACAACCCCCACTGTAGTATATACTCGAAACTCCCTGCCTTACACACATGTTGGTGCATTATGATGACACCAGGAAAACATGACATTATCTTGCAAACCCATTGTGCCATTGTACAGGTGATAACAATGGCCCCACACCACCACATCTCGCAGCGATGTCGTAGGAGACACCACGGCGGGGCCATTTGCTCCTACACCAAGCCCCCGTCCCCTCGCTATGGACGAACCTCATCTGCCTACTGCGAACACTGCAGTTTACTCTGAATCTCCGTCTCTCCATCCTTGAATTCAGTGGAGGTGGGAGGGAGATCAGGGAGGAGGAGGGGGAGGAGGGACACCAAACCCATTGTGCCATAAATTGTTGATACGTTGGTATAGACATAGTGTATTGTGTATTGAACTACTTTGTGACATTCCTTGAAGAAAGAACCGTTAGTTTACTCTGAATGGTTTTAAAAACCAACAGTACATTATTTATAACCTCGGATCTGTACATATTATAGGTCACTGCTTATGTGTGCTACCCATAAACTTTTGCAAGGCCTGAGATATACATACATACTTGCATATGCTCTCCCTTGGCTGTCCACCTTTGTGAGTTGTGAGTTAACATTAGATCATTCCTACTGCCTACACTTCTTTTTCACATGTGACATATTAAGTAGCGTACATGTAGCTCTTACTGAAATGGAGCACTGAGCAACAATTAGACACTGACTTCGTGAAATGCCTTTCACCAGCTCATATTCCCATTCACAGTCATGGGGATTTAGTTTAACACTCCCTCTGCTCCTTGTGATGGTTCCTGCATTGCACGCCAATACCCAGGCCATAAAACCCCTGTGAAAAAATACCCATTCATTTTGTTTACTGCATGGCTAAGTGACATGTGAGCGAACAGTTGTAGGCTCTACTTGGACATGGTGGACTCACACACAGAGTGGAAGTGCATGCCCTAGCATGTGACACTTGTTTCTGCTTGTGTGCATGAAGCAACATGGAAGTTGTAAGAACTTCACAATTTCAGTGTCATCACACTGCGTACTACCGGCACATGTGTTTCCAGGGGAAACTCCTACTACTCAACCCTTTTTCCTGCTTACTTTGAATACCTACAGATCTACATACATGTATGGGAGTCAACTGTGAGAATATTGCCATATGGATAGTGTGGGCTTTCTGTTTTCTTCCTGGTCAACATAATAGTCATAAACAGTAGTTATGCAAATGTGGGGTACAAGATTAAGCGGCTATTCCATGACATAATAGGATCAGCTATGTAATCAACTGTTGTAACTGACCACACAACCTAGTGATGTGTTCCTCAACCACTGCCGTATCCACCTTTCTGTAGACTGTGTGGCAGTTTTGTGTCCCTCGCGGTCTGTTAAACGGGCAAACCCTAGCAGAAGTTTTCGCCGTGTGTCACACCATAACTCTCGAACAGAGTGGTTTTAGTTTTAATATTCATACCCTCGTACGTGACTATCGCATGACCTCACTTGATCCTAGTCAGATTAATCAGCAATGATTGAGGATCATTTTGATATGTCACAGTCATGTGTGGATTGCTTATGAAATGAAAAAGTGACCACCCTTATGGAAAAATACGTAAGATCTTATACGTAATCTTCCACTCTCTTTAGAGCTTGGCACTGTAGCTCTGTTGTTATCGCTCTTTGGCCCCTTTGTTGCTAGCCATGCAGTCTTGGGTTACTTCCACCACTTCCCAATCCTAGTTGAATCCGAAGTCACATATTACATCCGAGGGTTTTATGCAAGTCCCCAATCCAGTGAATACAATTGATTTTTTTCTCTTGGGAAATGGAACAGCTGTAGTTTTTTGGAAGAAAAACACCCACACCATACCTGTGCCAGATATAGCAATTATAACAGTCTCCTTCAACTTTATCTCTCTATGGTTCGGCCGTTATTGGAGTATGCCTGTCAGGTATGGCATCCTCACTTGACAAAAGATATTAAAAAATTTAGAAAGTGTACAAAAGCAGGCATTACGTCTTTGCACTAAGCAATGGAATCTGGACTACGACACGTTACACTCTATTTGCAATCTTCCAACCCTAACTGCTCGTCTCTGCACAATGTTCAAAATCATTATCAATATGGTGCATTTTCCTCATAATGTATTTGTGCCACGAGTGACTCCTCTTCACCCTGCTTCAGACCTATTGTTCTCTCAACCATTCGCACATACTAACTCATTTCTGTACTCCTTCGTTCCCTTTATGTGTCGTGTATGGAACTCTCTCCCATTGTCTATTAGATTATCAGATTCTCTATCATCATTTAAGTATTCAGTAATTGATTGGTTATATCATAATTAACTTACTACGGTGTACATGCTTATCTTTTAGCATTTATGCTACTGTGTATTCACCTATAAAAAAATATATTAAAAATAAACAAATAATAAAAATATATAAAAAAATAAACAAATAATAAAAAAATAATAAAACAATAGCCCAGCCCACAATTAGTGGTACCGCGCATGCGCAGTTCGCCGAGGGTTTGTGGTTTTCATTTTGAGTAGTGAGCAGTGGGGGGATAAATTTGGTTCTCTGATTGACTTTGTTAAAGGTTTTATATTAAATGTTTGGGAGCTAAGAAAGGTTATGTTATACGGCGATAATCCCATCGTATATACAACAGTCCCAGTCTCAGATTGTGTCTGGGGAGCTGCAGGGTGTCGCTGGTGGAAGGGGTGAGTTGAGGTGTCTGGGATGTGAGACAGACACTAGTGTTGGTGTATGTTCATTTGGTGTGTTCGTTTGTTAATGGTTCCACCCATTGCTCTGGGTGCGTGGTAGCTAGATGGCCCTAGTGCTATGGCTGCCACCTAGAGTATTATTGAACAGCTGTATATACATTATCCCTATCCCATGACTACAGGTTGTTACACAAGGAGTGCCTCTATGTTCAAGATGGCAAGATCACAGCAGACTGGTATAAAACGTTGGTTAAAAAGTTTGATTTATGACCGCCAGTCAACAGATCAGCATTAATTTTATTTTTCTCTCTCGAAGTTAGTTTGCTGTGGCAAGTTCACTTACTGTGCACACAACGACTGTTAAACAGAGTATAATACTTTCACGAATGATTCACCATAGTAGCTGTTGCTATCTCATTTTAATAGCAAGAAAAAACAGACAGATTCAGATCCTTACTAAGGCAAACCGTTTGTGTGCAGGCATGCCACAGGTTAATCATTATAAGTACAAACAATAACAATAATATTATGAAGAGTAAACTTAATTAAGGCAACAAGTTCCAGTAATAGTTTTATTTACATATTATTCCTGCTCTGCTGCATTCATCTATAGCTAGATAAAAAGAAAGGTGTATTAGCAAGTGTTCTGAAATTGGTGTTGTGACACTACGAATGTTTGAAAAACTTACGTTGATCACAGGCAGAGCCACTCCATCCAACATTACATGCACATTGACTGTTAATACATAGTCCATTAATGCATCTCGAACATGTTGAAGCTGAAAGCATTATATGAATCATTAAAGTCATTCACAACATGTGAAACAACCAACAGTGAGATATAATTATTATACAACAATGACTACAGTTGCCATTATGTATTATATCATGTGTATCTGAGCCAATGCATGTCTTCCTAGCTACAGCTTACATCTGTGATCACAAGCTGAACCAGTCCAGCCAGCATTGCAGACACAGCGATTACCAGTGCATCTTCCATTCACACATCTTGAACACCCATCTGTAGTTATACGAAGTAGTCATTTCTCACTGAAATCATCGAGTCACAGAACAAGAATAGCTGGCACACAACTATACAAAAACTTACTAGAGCATGTGGATCCTGTCCATCCAGAGTCACATGTGCATTGGTTTGGACCTGTGCACCTGCCATGTACACAACTGGGACTGCAGATAACTGGAATTACATGGAAGGTAAGAGGCTGGTTGTTTCACATGTTGTGAATTACTTTAATGATTGCTTTCAGCTTCAATGATGCATTAATGGACTATGTATTGTGCTTATGTTTATGTTCAACAGGATTAGTTACAGATAAGCACTTCTGATATTACTGGTAAAAGTGTAGGTCATTGCCGGCGGCACCATAAAATCTTTGGGCCTGAAGCCCCACCCTCACACCCCCCAGCTGGTGTCCCATTCGCTAAAGCTAAAACTTCCACCACTTGTGGTAGTAGAAAAGGTTCTTACATTGATCACAAGAAGAGCCTGTCCATCCACCAGTGCATGTGCATTTATTTGGGGCAGAGCAGATTCCATTCACACAGCCTTGTTGACAGTTTGCTGAAAATAAGTTGGTACTCAACAATGTTAGGTACGAAAAAAAGGAAGTTTTTGTGTATTATAGATATACCTGTAGTACAAGCAGCACCACTCCATCCAGAAGAGCATATGCATGTATTAGGACTTGTGCACCTTCCATTCACACATCTTGGCTCACACGTTCCTAAATAGTGTAGGTGGTTGTGTGGGCTGGATTGTATGCAGGGTGGTGACTTACCTATCTCACATGAAGCACCCGTCCACCCAGAAGAACATGCACATAAGTTTGGAGCTGTACATCTTCCATTAACACATCGTGGACATCGGGCTAAACACAAAAAAACACTGAGTTTGTGATAAAGGCATGAACGGTGGATTAAATTCGTGGTATAACACTAATTCTGCTAGTATTCATGGAATTATGTGTTTCAACCTGTGGTACATGAAGGGCCAGTCCATCCAGGGTGACAGGTACAAGTATTTGGGGCTGTACACCTGCCATTATGGCAACTCACACAAACAGCTAAAAGAGAGAAACTATGGTGAACAAGTGCAATTGTTCTAACATTAGATTATACCAGTATCACAAGTAGAGCCAGTCCAACCAGAGTGACAAGTGCACGTGTTTGGAGCAGTGCATCTACCATTATAACATCTCTGGCAAAATGCTATAGAAAATAACAACATCATTAATGCTGTTCACCCACATGTCTTGTTGCAGTCTACCAGTATCACATGCTGAGCCCGTCCATCCATCATTGCAGGTACATGCATTTGGAGCTGTGCATCTCCCATTAACACAATTTCGGCATATTGCTGCGAAATAGAGATATCAACAGACCAAAATGCTTTTTTCCTGGTATTATGCAAAACCTGTACTGGTGTTACTGGCATACCTGAATTACAAGTCGCTCCTGTCCACCCACTAGCACATGAGCACTGGTTTGGATGAGTGCATCTTCCATTAACACATTTTGGACTGCACAATGCTAGGAAAATTGTTTGATGACTACAAGTATGTTGGTTCATGCTTTAGTATAAATGGCATTGCTTACCAATATCACAAGCAGCTCCAGTCCACCCAGCATTGCAAGTACATTTATTAGGAGCTGTACACCTTCCATTCACACATTTCTCACAAACAGCTGCAAAAGTTTACCACAAACAAAATTTGAAAGCTGGGAGGTCATACAAAGTATATATAGCTTGTCCTATTTTACAAATCATCTCTGTTGACGTGCAGAAAGCTGTGGCAAGTGTGTTGCCTTAAAATAAGGGAATACTTCTCTTAGAAAATAACCTTTTGTACTAGTATACGGTACACAAACCTTGGTCGCATGCAGGTCCAGTCCATCCAGCATTACATGTGCACATCCCTGGACTTGTGCATCTTCCATTGACACATGCTGAGCATGTTGCTGGATGTGAGCAAAACCATGTGGCAAAGCTGAAGAATCGGAAACTTAATTGAATTTTTGCAATGGGCCTTTTTGCAATCTTGAGCCACTTTGGTTAAGAGAAGGGAAAATGGGATTTAGGGCAGAAAACCTCCCATCAAGCACAGTGGCATCTGGCAGCTCCTTACGTGACACATTGAAATGTACTAACTTATTGCACAAATAGGCATGCATGTGCAGTGTTTCTGTACACATTATATGATCACATAGGCTTGCTATAGTAAGGTTAATGGAGCAACACCCGAACTTCAAACCACATTATTAGGCATGTATTATGTATGATAATCAACCTTAAAGGGCCTAACAAATTTCTGCGAGATACTTCTAGATGACTCTGTAGGCTTCTCTCACAATTCTTCCTCTGTAGCTCGACCCTCTCATCATAAAATTGTACATTTAACTATGATAGCCTAGGCCTTACACAAGACCCAGTACATGGTAAGCATACAGACTCTTGTGTACTAGCTTACAAATGCACGTCTTTCCATCTTCAGCAAGTGTGTAACCACTTGCACACGAGCAGGTGAAAGAGCTCTCATTGTTTGTACATTCTTGGTCACAATCATCAGCACCCATTGCACACTCATCGATATCTGTTGTGGGAATCATCACGAGTTACAAGTGTTTTTACTATGATAGATAATTAACCAATGCACACTCCATTCGTTGATGGTGTGAAACCTTCATCACAGTAACACGAATAAGATCCAGGAGAATTTATGCATTCCGAATGTTCATCACAATTGTGAGTGTTGTCCCTGCATTCATCAATATCTACAAAATGGTAGTGACTTCATCTTCCCAGTATAGATAGGAACTTACCTTCACAAACCATCTGATTCTCCGACAGTGTGTAACCAGTCCTACAGGCACAACTGTAAGACCCAGGAGTGTTGATGCACGTGTGCTGACAGCCTCCATTGTTTATTGAGCATTCTATCACATCTGTCACAGAAGTTACAGCAGATTGTACATCATCCCATTAGGTCATATCCTACCATTGCAAGTCTTCCCATCTGAAGCAAGTGTAAAGCCACTCTCACAAGAGCACGAAAAGTATCCATCTTCATTCAAGCATATTTGAGCACAGTTATGTATTCCAGTGGTACACTCATTTACATCTGCATTTGGAAGTTCACCTTTTATATACCACAGACAAAAAGCAGTGTTTTATTAGTTCATGAAATGTACCACGCTTGGGATGAAAAATTATGACTGGACAGTAATAATGCTAATTTTGGTGTCCATCATCACGTGTGCCGTTCCTCCAACTTTTGTAAAGTAGGTCAACACAAACTTACAGAATCATGTTTTTTTTGTTTTTAAGACATATATACTGTATAATAATCATCCCTCATGATCTTACCTTGGCATGTTTTATTGTCAGTTGCTAGTTCATAGGAAGAGTTAGTACATCCACAAATATATGATCCAGGCGTATTCACACAGACATGATTGCATGCATGGATATTCTGTTGACATTCATCAATATCTGATGAAAAGGCCAGAGCCAAATAGAATTACTAATGGCAATGACATGACTTCCCTGGTATAACACTTACCAGTGCAGCACTCTTCATTATCTGCTAAAGTGTATCCTTCCGAACAGGTGCAGAAAAAAGACCCAGGTGTGTTAACACATATCTGCTCACAGTTGTGCATTCCTTCAGCACATTCGTTCACATCTGATTAGGTGTATAGTTATACGTATAAACTATAATGCCCGTAAGCAGTAATATTGTAATACCTGAACAGGTTTGTTCGTCGTCAGCTAGTACAAACCCCACTTGACACTGACAGTGGTATGAACCAGCAGTGTTAATGCATGCATGCAAACATCCCCCATTCTCCGTTCCACATTCGTCTATATCTGCAGTGTTATTTTTTATTACAGTAGTGTTATGAAAAGTGTACCAGTGTTATGCCACGTAGGAATGCATTGACACACAGTGATTCATGCTGGGACCATGAAACTTAATACTTGGGTTGAATATGTTAGAGAACGGGTTTCTAATTGGTTCATAGTAGTACTACTCACTAACTGCCCACACATTCAGCTCTGACTTCCTGATCAACCTACACAGTATAGGTCATAAAACGTACTTGTTCTTTGAATGTTACCACACCTACACTTGTGTTTACTCTAAAAATTACCTGTGCATGTCTTGTCTTCCGTGTGATACCCTGGTAGGCAGTAGCACTCTGCTCCGTCTTCTGTGTCCTCACACAAGTGTTCACATCCACCATTGCCTTCTGAGCAACCTATGCACGATGCATGTTAGTTTTATGCTGAAAATTACTCTCTTTACGCTACCAGTTTCATTGTTAGTCATGGCTTGTGCATCAGTCACCATCTGGAGCAGCTCTGTGTAAAATGAACGCTTATTAGCTAGAATCAGGGTATGTGTAATAATAATTCTCACTTGCAGAAAAATTGAATATGTAGAGCAACTCTGGACTTCTGTAGACGTCATTTCCTGATTCTGGACATACAACTACTGCTATTTGATATTCTCCAAAGTCACTTGAGACAAGGGAAGTGAATGTAATTGAAGTTGTGTACGGTACCGTAGTTGGTGGTGTTACTGAGACACGTGGAGAGTCAGACAGTGAAGGATTACCACTCCAAGTAGCTTCAACAATAACAGGAGTGTCCACAACTGAAGTGTCCACTTCAATCACGTAGGAGAGTCTGAAGTTACCTTGTGATGTGATTGGAATATTTTCATGTACTACATGAAGAACAGGCTCTGGAACTGAAGAGCACATCTACTGAATTGGGAGTTGTTGTAATGATAATGTTGACATACTTTGTATGTGAACAGGGAGAGTAGATTTCTTGACTCTGAAGCCATTTTCCACATTAGATATGCATGTGTAAGATCCAGCTTGAGATGTTTGAAGTGGAGAGAATATCAGATAACTTGTCATGGTACGCTCATTTTCTTGCTCTTCATGAACAGTAATTCCATTCCCACTGCTAACTGGACCATTAGGACCTTCCCATCCAAGCTGGGGAAGTACGTTGCTTGTAGAAATGCATGTTAGCACCATCACTCCTCCAGCGACTCCAGGAACACTTGGCGAGCTTGTCAGATTTACTTCAACACGCAATTCTGTTCAGTATATCAACCCAGATAAGCAATACAGTTTAGTCTGCGTAAATTACCTTCTACAACAAAAGGCACTTGCACCTCATACCTTTCTCCTGTGTTGCTGATAACAACACAGCAGAATGTGAAAGAACCAGCACTGGTTGGATTGTGCTCCAGGGAGAGTTCATTAACATTGCTAGCCGAATCTAGCAAGAGATAAAATCCGAAAAAACTGTATCGCCATTCTATCCTGGCAGCATTGATAGCTACAGCAGTGCAAGTAAATTGATGTGGTAGATCTTTTATGATTGGCCCTTCATTTCCAGTAATGTTTACACCTGTTCAAATACAAGAAGGTCCACTGCAGGATTACATGTTGTTTCGTAGCTCACCTGGTTCTGCAGCCACTCGCAATATTAAAACCCCGGCGAAAGCCAGAACGCTGCAGACTGAACATAGCCGTTCCATCTTGCGCGGAAGTTCTGCTTTGCGAGCTGCACCAGTTTTCTGCGATGTGTACGCATGCGCACGCATGCGCAAAGGGGAGGGATATCCTGACTCTCTTTGTGCAGGGATATCCTGACTCTCTTTGTGCTTACTCCACCGCTTTGTTTCTGAGTAGGAAAACGTCCTTAGCGCTCTATTTTTACTAACAATCTAGCGAATAAATACTGCCCATCGAACCACAAAAATCAACTTGTGTGACAATGTCGTCCAAATGATGGTAGTTGGTACGAATGAGAGTGCTTTTGCTACTGTATCCCTATACTGGTTGCCCCACAAAAGAAATCCTCTGGCTTAGTGAGTGGATATATAATGTGATAAAATAATACTGCCCATCCCACCACAAAAAATCATCTTGTGACATGTCGTCAAAATGTTCTTATGCTTGTTGGTAGGCATGAAAGTGCTTCTGCAATCTATGCCTACACTGGATGCCCTAGTATATATATATAACTAAAATCACTATTGCGGTACCACCAAGAGGTTGGGATAGACATACACTGGGTTTCCTGAAATAAGTGGTGTCACACTTCTGAGATAATTATTTCTGCGCATGCAAAGTCACGGAATTTTGCTATAAATATATATGCAAATAATTTCTGCTATAATTATATATAGTACAAAATGAGAGTGCTTTTGCTGCTCTATCCCTATACTATCTACTGGTTGCCCTGCAAAGAAATTCTCTGACTCACTGGATATGAATAATGCAGTACCACAGAATTTTGTACAACATTTTAGTGATAGAATGGCACTAGGTTTTCTGATCATTTGTGTACACACTGTCACATCTCATAACACTCTAATAATGCTGAAGTGGCACAGATCACTGGCTTTTCTTGCTCTCGTTCTCCTGAGCAATCTCAGGTACAAAGAATCCTTCATTGTTCTCCAGAGGAGCAACATACTGCGTGTAACCATCACCATATATCTCCAAGATAGGTCCAACACACTTCAAATCAAACTCCTAAGTGCGTAAAGACCGCACATGATTATTGTACATCACTATCATTCCCTGCTAGTTCTTACACCAAAATATCTTTTCAATGCTGGGTACACAATCCCAGGAGCTATGATGGTTGAAACAAAGCTCCTGCAAGGGAATTCAGTGATTACAGCCTTGCCACACTGAGGAAATGTCCACACAGAGCACCCAGATGCCTTCAGAGACTTCTCCACTGTTGAATCTGGCGTGTCCGGCAAAACACAACCAACAATACTACGTAGCTTGTCCGGAGGCACCTGTAAACATCATCAAAAGTCAGTCTAAAATGCTGCCCAATGCATACTCCGACTCCTTTACAGAAACTGTGACGTCCCACGCTACTTACCTTTTCAGGGTCGTCATAAAAAACGCAAAATATTTTCTGATGTCGACCAATTGCAGTAATTCTTTCCAGTGGAGTACACACTTCTTTGTACGGCCCCCGGTGGATTAAATAAGCAGCGCGTCGTGGTAGGGACACAGGAAGGGAAGTGCGGATCCTTAGGTCTGAAAAGTACCCCGCATGTGTTAATACACCAAAGATGAAGATGAAGACCACAATCAGGGTGCCCAGAACGATCAGCAGCCAAGTTTCCATCTTCCATGCGCACACGGACTGCGACCTTCGACCCCGCAGGTCACAGCCACGTGTAACTGCTCTACTGCGCACCTTCGCGTTGAACTGCCGTGTGGATGCTGGGGTTACAGCTGCAGCCCTATGTACCGTCTTCTGTAGCCCTGGATGGAAGTAGCGCTCTTAAAAGGATTGTCAGAGGACAGTAGCTCACTTGAACGTGCCCGGGTAAGTTTATAAAAGTGGGATAACCTTGAGTAGACGACGAAGCGTGTTACCCGTACTCTCGCTAACGTGTGTGCGCGAAGAGGGTCCGGGTATATTCTGTTTGCATAATTGTGGCTCCTACAGCACGTGATCAACCTTGCCCAGGCTGTGGCGGTTTGGGAGGGGGAAAACCTACAACTACCCATCCTCAAAAGTGAAGGATACCGGTTTATTACCATACAGCAGCATGTCAGTGCGTTTTTATAGCCGCAAGTTGTGACTCGAATTCGGTGCTGTTGAATGCGAATTCCACGAGATATCAAACTGCCCTTGCACACATGTTGGAAAAGCACGTTGAATTTCTCAGACATTTTCATCCAATTGTTCATGGCTAATATTAATTGTTGCGTGTCAACCTGGTTCTGTTCAATGCTCTTAGTCACATTTGCCCAGATCTGGGGCAACTCTAGGCTGGTAGGGAAGGGTTCCATCTGGTATTATTGAGCTACACCTTTTGTTGTAGACGATGTTGCTGTCTTGGTTTTTTATAATATTCTTTTTCTTCCAGACTTTGCAGTATTTCGAACAACTCAACTCTTCTGTTGATGGTTGGAAGATATGTGCTGCTTATTTCAACAGTGACAAAGACAGGTTATCTTTTATATTTAACCCTCGGCGTGCATGCGCAGCGAGGGTTACTGTAGTTGTCGTGTGTGTCATTCATTCTGTCAGTTAAGTGAGAACTCACTTCTCCAGTCATAGATCGCGTCCAAAACGGGTTTACATACCCAGCGGCCGACGGAGGTCAGAAAATATGTGGGATTTTCTCTGAAACTGCTTCTTTGCAGAGCTAGAGCGTTTTCCTGTTCGTACGGTACGGCAAGGGCGGCCATTTTAACAACGCGCATGTGTGTATACACAAAAACGCACGCGACTCCGAGGCGGCAGGCGGCCAAAGCGGCGCACGCTGATTGGGACCACGTGGCCAGCAGCCATTTGTTTTCCCTCATTTCTCTGTGAGACTAGACTGAGAAGACGGTGGTGAGTGTGCTTTGTGTCTTTGTGTGTCTTTTTGAATTGTAGCTCACTAGGTTAGGCTTGGGAAGAAAGAATAATCTTATCTATGAACCTAAATACAGCACCAGTAAGTACAACAATTCTACCAGACCTGGTGATACCATTGCCCCACCCATTACTTTACATAATTGTGCGTGTACCCACTGTGCCGAGGGTTTGCACTTCAGTGCCTTTCATATATTGATTGAGTAATTTTCGTTACGTTGAAACTTCGCATTGTTGCATGCCAGGTTACTGTTAGCGGACCTAAAGTCATGAAAAATGCTTCTGAATGCAGCACTTTAATGAAATTGTCGCTTTCAAGCCTGTGTGGAGCTAAACCCGTTGGTTTTCTGGCTTGTTGCGCGTGGTGGCTAATAGGTGGTAAAAGACTGGAAGACAGAGAAGTACACATTATTAACATTCTGCCTAGAGCAATATCGAAAGGTTGATTGCTGTTTTATAGCTATATTTATAATTAAGCAGGTCTAATTTCTGTGCACGCAGTGAAGACACAAAAGTATACAGCCTAAGGGTTTTAGCACTTACATAAACACGGCCCCTGTTATAATATTTTGTTACTGATTGATTTTTCGTGCTCTGTACTAGTATGAAAGTCAGTGTTGTGCTCTAACGTCATATGACTCTCAGTACAATTTTTGTTGAGTCTGCCTCTTTTCTTCCATAGGGAATGTATAGCAGAAGCAAAGCCTTTTCTAGTCTCGTACCCAGACCCTGCCCTCCAAAGAGAAAAAGGGTCTGGTGACATTCGAGTGATTTCTTGGTCAGCAGTCTTGTGATTATTACATAACAGCATGCGAGGTGTTTCAGATTCTCTTGCGATACATACAGCGTGGTGCACAGAGCATCGGTTCGTTTGTAATCACGTTGTACGTGAGGTTGAGGAAAGTGATTGGCTTACTGAAATCTAAGACTGGTAATTCAGCATAGCCAAGAAACCCCTCAAATGTCAACTGTTTTCTCTTCAGATGGCGGGGTCTGGGTCGAGACTAAGCCTTTTCTTGAGGCAAATCCAAACGAGTATTGGAAAAGATTTGTAGGTTAGTAGATGTGACTCAAACAGAGGAAACACCTTCTATCCGTGAGGAGACACACTGACAAACAGTTCTGCTACAATCAGGGAGAACGCTCGCAGTGACCAAGACACATTTACCGTGACGATTGGGGTGAAAATTTTGCTTTGTGCTTCTTGCTACATTATCAAACGCTACCTAGCCGATCTCTCAAGTCCCTAGACCACGTTTGCTGCCACAGACCATCACATTGCCCCCCTGTAGTAAGTGTCCTGACATCGCTGTGCTGGAAAAGCCTCACCAAGCAGCCAATCTCTGCCTCTGTGACGTGCGCAGCTTTCAGTTAGCTGACCTTGGCCACTGTGAAGTGGACAGCTTCCTCTTGGCCACTGTCCTGTGTGCAGCTTCCTGTTAGTCCTAGTACATGAGAGGGAACCATTTATGTCCAATGAGTACAGATCTGGTGGCTGCCCATGCACAATACGAGAAACTGACCGATAGAATGTTAAAAAACAAAAATGTGTTCACTTTTTAGTGACGTTCAGGAATGCCCAGGGGGTGTCTCTCTATGCTCTATTCCTATTCGTAGCCCTAAATCTATTCCTGGACCTAGCCCTCGCCCCTTGCCTCTACCACCTCTGTACGTACATGACATCATGGGATAGTCCGTGGCAATTCTAGACATAATCCGTCCATTTAGCGTGAATTTGTTCTTTTTTTCTGCATTTTAGCTCTGAACATGTCCAGTTCTTCTGTCTCCGTGTTGTCGAAGGACATGTAAGGAACAGGTATTCATGCAGTAGTGATGACAGCATTCTCTCTCTTCGGGCTGTTCTACTGTTATGGATGCAGGTTGGTCTCACTTTAGTTATTAACCTCTTTGCTGTGGTAGAAAAAAGTTTAAGAGAGTTGTCTAGTCCTGAAGGTACAATACATATTAAGTTTGAGGTCTGGCTAGGTTCACTACTTAATGCGCCAGGTGCAGAATTGCAATAAACCATTTCTATCCTCGTGACGTTACCTAGCAAGGCATGACAGGGCAATGAACGTATTGTTGACTCGGCTGTAGAGGGAGGTTTGTCATTTACCTAGCATCGTAGAGATATGGGGGGTCATTCTCCTTTTCTCCTTCAAGTTTAACTCGCGTAACTCAAAACTGAATAAATTTACATATCCGTAGCCCAAAGGCAATCATTATACATACTTCTATAAACATAAGCAAATAGCCCCTGGCAATACACATACATATCAAAGGTCTTTGAACGAAAAACTTGTCTGGAAGTCCAATACTTGTGTGCTGGCACGCGTGCACGATAATATTTATGCGGGTGGAAATTTGTGCACTCTGTTATTGGAGCTCGTGGGTACAGTATGAGTCCAAAAAGTAAATGACAGTAACGGTAGGGTAAAGGTAGCAGTACTTCCGAGGAACAATAGCAGTATACCAGAGGTACACGTGCTCGGTATAATGTGTCCTACATGCAGATGGACACTATACTTCTTCACCAAACTTACAAACATAAGTCTGTAGTTGTATCACCTCATGACAGCGAAAAGGTTGTCTATTTGTGTTAATTTGTGCATGTTGTATTATATAAAGATGAAAAGACACAAGTATTACAGAGCGTGTTAAGCCCGAGTGCTTCTAACGTACTTAGATTTGAACAAACAAGAGGCGTATTTTGTTTGTACGTACCTGATTGACGCACACGTGGGAAAACGGCACCATAAAGCTTAGTAAACTCGATGATGAGATTATGTAAACACGGGTTGTTACACCACCGAGCCCATCACACAATTTCTACCTTGTTGCTTAGGTGAAGTATGAGCATTATGTGTTTGAGCTTGACTTACGGCCTTAACAGAATGGTAAAGTGTCATTCTACTATGTGACCACTACCATTATAGAGTCTATGTAGAGTTTTGGATCGCTCGGGATGTAAACATGCTCACTGTTCATTCCTCATCCCTGTTGTGTCTCCATTCCACCTTGTGTAAGAACTTCCATCTGGAATTTCAAGCACTAACTTCTGGGCAAAGGCTCCTCCGTTTCCCTTTATTCCTACTGCCTCCACTCCCACCGGAATGTCAGATCTAGCTGACACTTCGTTTTTTACAGTTTGATTATTTCCTTTTTCGAAAGGAGACAACTCTCAATTGATGCTGTTTCAAGCTGACTAGTGTGCGTCACATGAGGTAAGGTCTTATTCTAAATAGAGTCAGGGCTCTTTCCTACAATGAACTCAAAGGAGAGGAACAACATCTTTCTACGGTGTTAGGGAGATTTCGCTAAATGCTCCATGCGAAACTGAAACACAGTATGTGTGAAGTAATCCTCAACAGAACACCCTTATTTGTAGCATGTACATACCAGGCGAATAAACAAGAACCAAAACAGGGTTCCTTGAAGTGATATGCAAACCGAGGCGTACCGTACTCGAGCTAGCAAGATGCCTGGACTGAGTGTTATGTTAGCTACTGTCCTTTTGTTTTTCACAATCTGTTGTGGAGAGAGTGATGGCAGCAATTTTTCTTGCCCGACATGGTTGTTCCCCTCGGATGATGGATGTGCTTGTGGAAGTGATCTTGGAGTAGTTATGATGTGCTCTAATGAGACACAGGAAGCCCAAGTCCTGTGGGGATTTTGCCTGACATCTTTTGAAAACGTAAGCAGGCCTGTTGTTGGCCGCTGTCTCTATGCTCAGAACAGGCAAAGCACAAGTGGTGGACTATATGTGAAAGTAAATCCAAATATTTCTGGACAGGAGGACCAACTGTGTAGCTATCTTAATCGCCGTGGAACTCTTTGTGGAGAGTGCAAGGCTAACCATTTTGTTTCCCCATATTCTTTTGACCTTATGTGTCACCAATGCCACAAGGGCCTGCTTATTAATGTGATTATGTACCTTACTATTGCCTATGGCCCTCTAACAATATTTTTGATTGCAGTATTGGCTTTTCACATCACCGTTTCTTCTCCACGCACGAATGCAGTGGTTCTCATTTGTCAGATATTCTCTCTTCCTGGAAATATGCGGTATATTGTGCAACAATCTCGAAATACAAATGTCATGCTTTTTGTCAAGATTATTGCAACCATGTATGGGGTTTGGAATTTGGACTTTTTCCGAATTGTTGCTCCTCCCATTTGTCTGCCATTGAATACAATACAGGTTATTGCTCTTGACTACCTTGTTGCTGGTTATCCATTGTTGCTGCTTGTGTGTTTCTACGTGTTGGTGAGCGCACATGACAAAGGTTACTGGGTAGTTTTGAGGCTATGGAGACCGTTTCTCTCATGCAGTGCAAGAATGAGGCAGCAGTGGGATTTGAAGAGCTCAATAATTGATGCTTTTGGATCATTTCTTTTGCTCTCCTACATGAAACTGCTTAATACATCAGTTGACTTGCTTATAACCACAGAATTGTTTGATGTTCATGGCTCTCGAGTGGGACATTATTTGTACTATGATGCTACCATAGAATTCATGGGTCCCCAGCACTCTCTGTATGCCATTCTTGCTCTGTCAGTGCTAACTGTTGGTGCCTTGTTTCCACTGATACTATTACTCTATCCAATGAAATGGTTCCAACAATGTCTGAATAAATGTCACATGAACAGACCAGGTCTGAGAATGTTTATGGAATGTTTTCAAGGGAACTATCGTGATGTGACTGATGGTGGTTTGGAATGTAGATATTTTTCTGCTGTTTATCCAATGTTTAGAATTGGCGGATATGTGCTCTATGCAATAACGCACAGTCTTATGTTCTTTCCATTGATTGTTATGGTAATTGTAACTCTTACTGCTGCTATAGTAGTAATACGGCCATACAAAATCGACTTGTACAACCTTGTTGACGCACTGCTCATAATGACAATGGTAATTTATGTTTCTGGCTTCATTGTATCTTCTCTACCTTATGATTGGGATGAAGTTTGTCCTTTAGTGGGACATGTTATATCAGGAATAGCTTCTCTTGTTCCAATTGTCTATTTCTCTGTCCTTCTTGGGATGAAAATAAAACGGAAATTCTGCCTGCATTTGGTTTGTCCGAAGTTGTGTGTTTGGCAGAAAAATGCTAAAGAATATGAGGAAGTTAGTGAATCTGACAAAATTCTTGACTCACTTAATTAGAGTATATACTTGATCTCATACTTATCATAATGACGAAGTGTGTGGTATTACCCTTTACATTTGTACACTTTTCATTTTCAATATGCCCTTTAGCTCTTTTGTATTATTATTTTTATTTGTATATGTGGGCGTCAATTTTCTGTTTGTAGGGTATGCCTTTTTAGAATACTGTGTTTGTATATGTACAATCATTTTTTATAGTCGCGGGCGATACATGCTACATATGATGTGGAAAGTCTCATGTGTATACACAACCAAGTATTTTTCAGTGCCTGTGCTTCGTACAAAAACACTGGGACTTGTACTTTACATTTCCTTGACCATACTATGCACATAAGACTCATACAAAAAATGAAAAGCACTGAAGTGCAAACCCTCGGCGCATTGTGACGCGCACGCGTAAGTAAACGCATGCGCGGTACCACTAATTGATGGGCTAGTTTTAGCTGTTACTCGTGGTCTCTTGCCAGTTCGCGCAGAGTCTGACGCAGGCTAACTACACTACTAGATAGCATGATGTGGCCGTCGGGCATTACATCACAGCTGTGCCAACATATCCCATGTGTGGCACCCAAAAATTACAAGGCTTGGGTACCTTTTTTACATTAAAGTTCATTATCATATGTTTTACCTCGAGCGGGTCAGCTCCGCTCTGTGTATATTGAAGGCACAACGAAGGCCATGTATCGACTCCCGCATGCTACTGTAGCGAGTCCGTATCAGACTCCCTGCGAGCTACTACGGGAGACCACGAGTAAACGCATACTACTATTAGCCCAGCCCATCAATTAGCAGTGCGGAGTTCGCCGAGGGTTTGCACTTTTGTGCTTTTTCATAGCATTATTGTAATTAGAAAACAATAACTCAAAGACAAAGAGCACCTCAGAATTCAAATTTACAACCCAGATAATACTCTAACTTCAATGAAAAGCACTTGAAAGTGCATAACCCTCGCCAATGTTAATTATGGAGCTTCAATAGTAGTTTATTAGAGGCCACATTCAGCAGCCAATGGCTACTAGTTACACTACCTCAGTGACTCCTTCACTGAACAGATTCGCTCCCTGGCTCTCACTTCACTGGCAATCTCGCTCCTACTCAACTGTACCATTGATACAGGCAGACCAGAAAATCTTCTCCACACGCGCAAAGCATCTAGCATCTCAGCGATCGTCCGCGATCTCTATTTGACGCACACTCACCTCGGCAGCCGTCCGTTTCACCAGCTTCCCTGGCCTTTTCCGCTCAAGAATCGTTTACCATGCATGTCTCCTACTTGATAATATGTCCACGTCTCACGCTCGGAGTTGCCGTGGTTAACAGACGGACGGACGGACACGCAGACACACAGACCGACTACAATAACCCTCGCTGCGCATGCGCGCAGGCGAGGGTTAATAATAGTTGTCCCATCGCTCCTTTTAATATAGACTGAGTTTCGGAGGTGGTCGTGGATGTATGCTTACATACAAACCTTAGAAAAGCGCACATAGTTTACCGACGGAAGAAGGGGCTTGTTAGCAGCTTATAATACAGAACCACCGCTTGATGCAACTACACGGGCTTGGACAATGAATGGCACGAAGGCCTAAGGAATGGATGGCACGAGGTCCCGGAGAATGAATGAATGGCATGAGGGCCTGGAGAATAAATGGCACAAGGGCCTGGATAATAACACAAAAGGCTTAAAGACACATTACCTAGGTTTTGGATTCACTTTAGGAATTCGTAGAAACTGCCGCCTGTTAATGAAAAGCACTAAAGTGCAAACCCACGGCGAACTGCTCATGCACGGTACCACTAATTGATGGGCTGGGCTATTAGTATGCGTTTACTCGTGGTCTTCCGCTAGTAGCTCGAGGAGAGCTTGACACGGACTAGTAGATAGCATGTTGGAGTCGATACACGCCCTTTGTTGTGACTTCTTGTGCTTTCAGATACACAGAGCAAGCAGACCCAGTCGAGGTAAGCCTGTGCTAATTAGCATATTATTGGTTTGTTCACTATGTTTTCACGACATAACTCTGGAATACAGTACTTTTACGAAATTCTCCAAGTTGAAATCAAGCCAGTGTAGCGCTCAACCTCTTTGTATTGGTCTTTTGTTGTCCCGTTCTGCGTGGTGGCAGAAAATGTGGTAACAGACAGGCGGACAGACACACTTGCGAACCACTCTTATGTAGCAAGTGTGGCAGCTCCATAGTTGTGGGCACAATATGGGCCTATATATTCTACAAGATACAGCTGCTACAGAGAAAATTTCCACGCAACCTACAGTGTTAAATAACTTGTTCAGTTGTTCTGGTGTGATGTCACGCAGTACGGGGAGCCTTCGTCCCATTAGTTGGAAGCCGTCGCGATTTCTCTCACAATGATCTGCATGTACAACGTAATGTTTGCCTAAGTACTTCGTAAGTATTGGTATGTATTTTTAATAGCTTGTGTGCCACATAAGGCAATTCTGAAGTATTTTTCATGTGGGAGTTCATGCAGTGAGAGTTCATATGAATTTTATTGGTAAAGTTCATAACAGCCAGGTGGGTGGGTAACCATGGCTTAATTTTATAATGGGGCAGTGTAGCAAGCATAATAAGGCAGCTAATGGCCTAGCTAAGCAATACAGGATGGTAAGGCCAAATATGCTACTTTCATAGATTAATATATACATGTGTCAATTTTCATTCACAGCATAACAGCATGTTACAATCATAATTGGCGAGCGGGAGCGAGCTATAACCTAGTGGTAGGAACGGCGCGGATTTTCTGTATATATATATGTATTTATCTACGACTGTACATCGTCAAACTGCTCATGCTCCAGCATTACGCGCTTCTTTTTATCCGAAAGGGATTTCACAATTTTCATATGCTGCCTAAATCAAGACTTGCTGCAGAATCAGAGGAGACGCAACACGCCAGGTTCGAACACCTCCGAAGCTATCGAGAAAGGTGAATTGCTGCACAGTCCAGCGGCGAGAGAGAGGCTCGCAATTCGCTGCGCTCTTAGGTACCTGACCGAGGCTGTATATACCTCTTCGTGGTTCTAAGGTTCAGGTTGTAAATAGGCTAGGATGGATCATGCAGATACAGTCATTGTGTGCATGCTCCCGCTCGCCAAAAATGCCATGCATTCGCCTACTTTTTTAAAATTTTTGATGGGTGAATTCAAGCCCCCTCTGAAATTTTAATGCCTGGGAACAGGTCATATGTTATGATATTCATTTCATAACCCGACAAACCAAATATTTCATGCAATTACCCTCAATGTGTTTATGCTAGCTTGTGCTTTCATCTACATTCCATATGGCATGTTTTTATACCAATGGATTGCATGAACTGATAATCATTTGATAAATGTCTCAGCTAAAAAGAATATTGCAATTCTATGTCCCTCGCAGCTTCTGTTTCATCATGTGCACAACCCCTTTACTACTTCCTGTTCATGTTTTATAGGGTAAAACTCAAAGGAAGCTTGTATTGAAGAAAATGGCACAGATTATTGGACTAGCATTTGTGATAGACTATCCTCAAAGAGTGAGTTCATTAATCAGTGGATTTTGACTCACATTCTGGGATTATAGTACATACTAGAGGTCATTAAATTAACATCCTGCATCTGAATGCGTTAAAATGCTGTGCAAGATGTGTTTTGTGTTTGTGTTAATTTGCATGTGCTTGCTGTTAACTACGTAACTAGGCGTCCTGCATGCATTTGCGTCGTTGTAGGCGTTGCTGCTCCGTGTTTGCATTCGAGCATCACAAAGCGGTTCTGTCACTAGCCCTGGGCAATCTCTAGCATAGCAGCGCACGGATGCACGAGAGCTTGTTTTATGTATGCATGTGTCTGTGTCTGTGCGTTTTGACGGTGTGTGTGCATGCATTGCACGTTCAGACGAACAAACAGTTTGAACGCAAACTTTAGTATTTACGTCAACATCATATGGGGGAGATTTTGAGACATATTTGTTTATTCCAAATCGTCAACATCAGTTCGTCACAATGGAAATCTACTTTCACATATGCATACACTCTAAAACCTGCACACACATGCACACACGGCCTCCAAATGCAGTGGCCAATGTTTTTTTCGGACGTGCTTCAGTGTGTAGGAAATGGAGTGAAAGAGTCTGTGGAGTTATACTTACGAGTGTTAATGGCAATTGATGAAGAAGTTGTTGACCGTCAAAAAGTTCACACCTGTGCTGTAAGTTAACAAGTGAATTGTGTACTTCTGATGAGTCATGCCATAATCCTGTACAGGTTTCTTGTGCCATTTAATTAACCCCGAACGCATATACTCTACAAAATGCGCAAATGCACGTTGGGTTCAAAGACTTCCAGGATGTACTATACAATTATGTTCGCACTTTAGTGCTGCAAGAAACAAGAAACACAGCTTACGGATGGACCGACATACACACACATGCACATACACACACAAACAACCTACAGTAACTCTCTTCCGCAAACACGCAGTAAAACGCATATGCACACAGATGCAGACAGAATTTCTCATTGAAGTACGCTGATTCATGTGCACGCCAACTGCAGGCGCCAATGCAGAACATTGGCCACTGCATGGAATATCTTGGGGGAGGAGCGGAAGGGAGCATAGGGTCTGCAAAGACATGGTGTCGCCATGAGTCGATAGGCAAACTCTATGTCGACCTTGGCCAGCAGTGTCCCTGGACCTAGACTGACGGAAACTTCGGCGACATGATCAACAGTGGTGTAGGAGACGGAACAGAGCTCTGTATCGATGACGTCTTTCACACTTCCTGCTTGTTGGAAAGACAGGTCAGTGATTAGGTGACAATTCCTGGACTGCCCTTTGGGAATTTCTCCAAAACGATTGATATGGAGCTCCAGTGACACTAATGCAGAGGGGGAGGGGCCCAGCATGCGGCCCATATCGAGCTCCTTGCGCAAATACTCATCAAAGACCTCTGGGTGGAGCTGGGCTGATGCCATGTTCTCTGATGCTGATTGCACAGTTGAACCCAATCCAGAAACCATCGCTTAGGCCCTGTAGGACGTACCAGGTGAAATCCCTGTCTGGATGGGACCAGTTGAATTGACACAGAGCCAATGGCCTGCAGCGGCCAGGCATCCAGGAAAACCATGGTCTGCTGTATAGGGGCTGCAGCAACTCCCACCCTGTGAGAATAGGGGTTGGGAAGCACTTTTAGTTGGCCAGAAGGCCGTCACCCATAAGGTGGAGAACAGCGCTATCCCCCCTTCTAACTGACCTCCCACCCGGCCCACTACCTATCCAGCATCCGTCCCCTACTCCCTTGCAACCTAGTTCATAAAAGGGAGAGAAAACCCAGAGCTGTGTACCATACATGTACCTGCAGCCCGACCAAGTTACAACAGATATTATCTTGCAGAGCTGGATTATATGAGCACCAATGACATAGGTCAGTGGGGAGTGACCGGAATACAGTGCTTTGCGCATAGAGATTGAAACTTGGGATTTTTAACATTTTGGTCCATTACTCCATTACATCCTGTGCACCTGAGAAACATACCAAAATAATCAGCAATCTTTTCTGATTAAAGTGATCATACGATTCATGTGACCGTCACAGTGTCAAAAATGGCCACCAAATAACGGTCCTTCAGCGCAGTATGCGTCAAAGAACGTTTCCAATATTGTTCAATACAATACCATTTCGTTTCGTCATATTCATATTCTTTTCTGCATTATAATGCTAAGTGTACACAGCACGGTACAGATAAAGAGAAACCGACCAATGCCGTACTCCGACTACCTCCAGCATAGAGTGCTCCTACACCACTCCAGGGGGCTCAGTTCGCTAGCGATCACAGACGCTCTCTCCGACGAATGACTTCGCGCAACCCGTCAAGGAATCGCGAAGTTCCTTCGTCGTGTAGAGGAGACGAAGAGCCTAGAAAGACAGCCAGGGAGCTGCAGGCCTTCCAGCATGACATCACAAATGCTGGCGCTCGTGGAAGAGCAAATGAGACACGATGACGAGACAGCAACTGCTCGCACTCCTCCACCGCCACGGCTACAACATCTCGCAGTCAACTGTTCTCCGCAGCCGTTCCTCGCTGGGATGGACGTTTAGAGGCAGTGCTTACTGCCAAATGATACGAGAGGCAAACAAGGCCAAGCGGCTTGATTTCGCCAGGCGGTACCTCCACGAGGCAGAGAGCGGCTTCACTTACGTCGTGTACACAGACGAAACGTCAATTCAGCTAGAAACACACTGCCATTTCTGCTGCAGGAAACGTGGCGAGCAGCCCAGACCCGAACTTAAGTAAAGTCTTACTATATACTGCAGTTGCATGTGCAACGATCACACCGCGTAACGTACTCAAGGCCTGGAAACGAGGCTATACAGTATACTGACACTTGATCCGATGACAGCTAGTGGAGTAAACAGAAGCCACATAGGGCCCCGGTTCTTGATACATAATACTAACTACAGTGGCTATATTTTCCTACACAGACCAAAACATCCAGTGAAGGTGCATGTTTGGCCTGGGATCAGCCTCAGGGGACACACTGGAATGTGTATTTTCAAGGGAATAATGGACGCGGAGCTGTTTATTACCATTTTACAATTATGGCACTTTTTCCTTATTTCTTCGAAATAGTGCGGCTCTGCCCAGCACTCAGGGTGACATTGAAATATCGCCTTTTTAATAGTGTAGAGTTCACGCTGTGGAAGGGCAAACTTGGTCTTTGTTCCAAGTGGCGTGCATTTAGCCATCGCTGTAGCCCCCAAAAACAGCCTCTCTAGCCCAGAGTAATGCCAACAGACCGTCCTCCCCCTTCAGCACACACGATTTGTACCTGTCAAGAACGTCGTCTAGTGAGTCCACGTTTTCTGTGTCAGTTGGTCGCAGTCTGTATTGGGTATTTCTAAGCTTGTTCAGTATGGGTAGTGGTTTGTAAGTTGTGTCAGTTGGTGTTGTTAACCCTCGGCGCGCAGGCGCAGCGAGGGTTATAGCTAGTACTTGGTCTGTGTGTGTGTCTGTTACCACGTTTTCTGCCACCACGCGCAACAAACCGGCAAAAAGCGACACCAACGGGTTCAGCGCTACACTGGCTTCATTTTTTAAATGGCTATTTTCGTAAAAATACTGCCTTCTATAAGTTATGGCGTGAAAACCAAGTCAACAAGCCAATATGCTAATTAGCACAGGCTTACCTCGACCGGGTCCGCTCGCTCTGTGTATCTTGAAGGCACAAGAAGTCACAACGAAGGGCGTGTATCGACTACTGTATGCTATCTACTACTGTAGCTAGCCCGTGTCAGACTCTACTAGCGGGAGACCACGAGTAAACGCATACTAATAGCCCAGCCCATCAATTAGCAGTACCGCGCATGCGCAGTTTGTCGAGGGTTTGCATTTTAGTGCTTTTCATTGTACTTGTTGTGTCAGTTGGTGCTATTATATTTGTTGGGAGAAAAGGTGTCATTGTGTTTGGGAGAGAGGGTGTCATGTTTGTTGGGAGAAAAAGTGTCGTGTGAATAGAGGTTGGAGAGTGTTCAGTTTCAGTGCTGTCCTGGAGCAATGTCTCAGCTCAGGAAGTCGAGCAAGTTGGTGTCATTTTGTTGAGTCCCACCTGTGAGGAGGGTATGGTGGAGTTGTTGTTTTGTGTTAGTTCGTGCAAAGTTTCTCAAGTGTTGTCAATCTGTCCAAGATATTCAGTTGGTTTTTTTGTAGTGTTGTCATCATGTCCACCAGTTTGGCCACATTTGATTGTATCTCTGTAGGTAAAGAAAAATTAGCACAATTCATTCAAGGTTAGGCAAGGCAAAGAACTACACGTACATGTCACATGGTCTAATATCTTCATGTACAGGGTTCGTAACACACTCCCCATTTTATTTACGGAGTTTACCATGTCATCCTTACCTAGGAAAGGCCCACTTGTTTCCAGATCTTGGTCTTGAGGAGGAGGTGGTCCTCCATGGTCGCTGACCAGAATTATACTCCCCTCCCTCCTTTTCTTTACCGATTCGTTCTTCTCTGTATGGAAATATTTCCTTGAAACATAGGTACATACTTGAGAACCTTCTTGTTTCTTCCTCTTTCTTTTTTGGTAATTAATGAGTAATTCCGGTTAAAACGGAAGTAGGCGGGCAAGCACGCGCATACAAAACAGACCCCAGTGCTACGGTGCTACAGTGCTCACACTTTCGCGTATCGCAGTGTTTGCAGCGTGTTCTGCCCGCCAAAGCCACTGAAAGTTCTCCCACCCACCCTCCACATTCACATACTTATTTAGCTAGGTAGATTGATAAAGCCTCCTACTAAGACGGTAGTGCCGCCATCCTCGATGGCACCTGGCCGGTCACAGAGCTGCCCCTTACAGGTCGGGTTCGGCCAAACAAGTAGAATGGGTTTGCCTCACAAATAGGTTTGCCTCACATGGACTGCTATTACGCAAATGACTGTTTTAACCTCCATTGCAGCTCTTGGTTCTCTTCCCCCCACCGTTCTAAACATGCCCACTTTCTCCATTATTTCCCCCCGTTCCATCCTTCTCTACCACCGCATCAATTCCCCCTGTTCCATCCTTCTCCCCCACGGCATCATTTCCATCTCTCTCTAACATCACATAATCTTCCTCCATTTCTTTCTCAGGCATCACATCATTCTTCTCTCTCATTATTGTTTCCTTAGTGCCTGCAAGTCCATGTATCCATGTATATGTGTACGTTCATTTGTACTGTAACATGTTTCTGACTTACCGGCTGCAACTACCAAACCATCATTATATCCCACTCCAAATTTCACCTTAGACACTTCTCCAACTCGATGAATGTTTGCCCCTGGACCACTGAATATGAATCCTCCCCAGCCCATCAACCAACAAATAAATGTCTCCTGCAAAGTTTGTGAAAGAAACTATGTATTATAGACCAGCAGGAATTAATAAGCCATTAATACGTACTACGCTATAATACTAGGACGGTTAATTATTCACAGCTAGCTACACACTGCCCACAACCACCCACGCTTTTACCGCAAAACGCACGCTCGAAGGGGGCAAGGCCCGTGAGCCCGCTACGCTTACGTTCTGGAGATACAACAAATTATTACTGTACGAACTTACTTGTCTCTTCGTTGTGTCCCTGTCCAGTACGTTGGATCACTGCATGGAGCATGAGAGCAGTGTAAGTTAGTTGCCTCGCTCGAGTCTAGAGAGTCGCCCGAGTGATCGCAGCTGCTGCAAACGATCGACCTCATATTCGAACGAAACCGAAAGAAACCAAACAGTACAGAACCGTACATTAACAGTATAGTTCTTTGATCACCGCACCCAGGCTGACTACGTAAACCACCTATAGTTGTGTACGGTTTTGTTTGGTGGGATGTCAGGAGCCGCCTCGACGCAGTCAGTTGTGTAATTCTCTTGGCCGGAATACCATGTCATGGAATCATCATATCCCACAATGGGTTGATTTACCCATTGCAGTCTTATTAATGATATTCATAGCCTGCCTAACATTCAATAACATCTAAATTTTCTAATTCATGACATAATTATCCGTCCAAGATTACCCCCCAAATTACCATGAACACACACTACTCTGTGCTGATAATCTTACACACTGAGGACAACTCGTCTCTCGGCAACCTGACATACAATAAGTAAGCTGAGCTCTCCCACCTTCCTAGTGTTTGAATCCTCTCTGATGAGACTCCCTTGCGACCTGCTGTCGTGGCGGCTCGTGGCGACGCTAGATAGGCCACGTACCTACATAATAAGTTTTCCGCAATGGCTGCAAATTGGCCGGTGAGCAGAACCCCAGGAATCTCCGCTTTGCCGTGTCGTAGGATTTATGAGTAGTTCAGTACTGCTACCATGGCGGAATTGTCTCTGCCCCAAAATGCCACCGCAAGAACCACAGGGATCAGTTCTTTCACCGTTGCGAGTCCTGCATCGACTGTGGCCACTGCAGTTGGAACCACTTTTTGTCCCAGAACGCACTGCATCCCCATGTGCCTGACGCGTCCAACGTTACGATTGCATGAGGGTGTCTCGGGGTTTCTACGCCATGTTATATTCCTACGCCATATTATATTCCTGTCGAGCCGTAAGAGCCTGTGGAGCCGAAAGCCGTGGAGATAAGGAAGGCTTATGACAAGACCATCATGGATAGGGAGCAGCCGTTACTACTGCACAGAAGAAACTATGAACACTTCCAAACTTACCACTAACATTATTATTTCACACTACACCATTAGGATAACTGCCGTCCACAAACAACCAGAGATGGTGGCAGAGAACCTGCAGTGTTGCATCAAACATGTCGAATCTACTTTTCAAATCTGATCCTTGACCAGGACAGTAACCACCACAATTCAGGTATAATTATACTAACATATGTAGGGGGAAGAAAAGAACAGAAAAGAAATGGTGAGAATCAACCTCTGTAAATGCACAGTTCAATTCCATTCCAAACCAGTCTACTTCTCAAATCTCATATTGGACAAGACTGTTACACCTCCTAAACTGTCCACAATAATTGTAGATCATCTGAATTACTACCATACTGAAATTAGTAGTGTTGTTGATCCAGGCGTGAGTGGTGAAAATTGTTGCTCAACCGTGGTGCCACTGGGCTGCTTGTACTTCTTTCTGTGTTCTGCAATCGTCGCATTTTCAGAGAAATCGCTTGCAAAACAATGGATTTCCCATCACAGGAGTTTTTTCAAGGAGTCTAACGAAGCAGCTTGCTCTCTCTTCACAAATGTATGGAGTAAGAAGGTACTCAGCTGTTTTTTCATCTCATAAAAGGCACCGTGTCTGTCAGAACTACCTTCTCGATTCTGCTGTCGACTGACTTCCACTGGTATACTGCAATGTCATTGAGCTGCTTTGTGGTGCAAACTCATCAATCAAATCCTCACAGGTCCAGCATTCTCGTGTCATGCACTTCTTGGAAGTGGCGTCACAGGTTACTTGCTCTATGAAGGACGAAAACTCGGTACTTAAAGGTGAATGTTCCTTTAAAGCCACAAGTAAAAGCCGAGCATTCTCATGGTAGCTGCAAAGACATACTTGGTGTGGTAGATGGTCAAAGAGTTTGATATTAGGTGGCCTTAGCTCACAGAATTTTGAGAGACTCATCTTCGTTGTAGGATGTTGTTCTATGAACTTGTTGTAGGCTTCTCGTAGTGACATCACCATGTAGCTTGCTGGGTTATCTTAATCCTCTCTCCCTCCTCTGTTTGTTTCATGAATGATGATGCAATCTTTTCTTCCCGGTGCTTGCCACGATATGTCGTCGGTCCTGTAGAAAGAATGTACCAATTCTCTTTTTCCTTCACTTTCTACTGAAGCACTCTTTTTAGAGGTCGAACACACTGGTACTCCTACCGATCTGACAAGTTTTTCGACAACAAAGCGTTGCTTGCGAGAAGATGATGGAAGGCCGTGCTCAAGTCGCTTTATTGCTTTTTCTAAAGCTTCTCGAGGAGGGATAGAAGCGCTGAAGACGGGCGCCGCCGCGCAACAACGGCGCCCATAAGCCCTGCCCAGAGGAAGGGGCCTCCGGCCCCTCCCCCCATACGAGAGAACGCCCGCCCCGCCCCGAACACACAATGATACCAATAACAACATCACGGAGATACCAACATACTAGAGTATCGTGTCAGCTGGCTCCTGGGGATTCGCACGTATTGCTGATAGGCCACGCTCTCCCATCTCCCTAATGTCTTTATGATGCTGTCCTCGATGCCCTTCGCGGCTGCGGTAGTCGCCGCACCTATCCGAAAACTGTGACCGTTATAACGCCTTTCATCGATACCGGCTGCCGTCAGAGCTCCTTTCACAGCTTCCACACAACGCCTACGGGTAAGCAACCGCCCGTCCGCGAAAGCGAACAACGGACCAGACTGCGGACCCCTGGCCACTAAAAAATTCAGGATAGCTCCTACCGGCCATAAGTCGTTCCCCGTCCACCCCAGAAACAAGTTGACTCCTCTCCGACCATGTCCTTCTCCTGTTTCTCCTCCTCCTATAACAGGCACAATGAAACACAAGTAAATGTAATCATGTACTTGGAATAAATAATGTAAAGTGATAGAAGGGTAGTAGGATTCTACCTCAGTGGCGGCCAGTTTAGCTTCTTTCACCATCTGCATATAACTATCCGCCACCCCCCCTTTCCCTAGACTACACTTTATTTTAGTTGGTGTGTTCTCAACAAAGCCGACATTATCTTTTAACGTTCTCTTGCTAGGGGTTAACGACTTTACCTCACCATCATCAGTCTTCATTGCGGGTTTCCACCTGCATTTCCCCCTAGCCTTTACCCACCCAAATACTTCATTTTTCTCCTTCTCATCCGCCATCGTTCCTCTCTATGCTTGACCACGACCTCACGCGCAACGCACATGCAGAGTTCCCGGGGGCATATCCCCCAGCGTGCCACCTGTAGGAAAGGAGGGCGCCAGATCACAACCAGGCCTGAGGCCCTCGCCTGCCCTGCTGGGGCATCGACCGGTGAACTGCCACCAACAAGATGGCCAACCACTCTGACCGCGCCCCCGCCCATGGCCAGCCATGAGGCGCCGAGGCTGTTTGAGCTAGCTACCCCCGGCACCCTACACTCGCGGCGTGGGAAGGCCAGATAAGCTAGGACAAGTTACCTCTCGCCCGATCTCCCGTTGGACGTTCTGGGTCAGAGGGGGTTCTCGGTTGGTGGGCTAACAGCGACGGGTCGTCATGAAGAAGCTCGCGGATGGACTCCTCCGCTGTAGAAGGTATCACCGCTACAGCCTCTGTGGACATGTCAAGACGGATGAAGAAAGATTCGGACGAAGCTTGTTCCAACCTGTCGCGTGATCGGGACAAGAAGAGAAGGTCGACTACAGTTACTACACCGGCTTTTTTGCGCATGCACACAATCGTTAGATCGCTCCCGCTCGCCAAAAATGCAGTGCATTCACCTATCCTACTACTTATTACCCTCGGCGCGCATGCGCAGCGAGAGTACTGTAGTTGGGTTTGTCTGTCTGTCCGTGTGTCTGTCTGTTACTCTCAATCTCACTTCCTGGGTGTTTGTTCGTCTCACAAAGGATACGACCTACTTAACGGGCAATGAAGGTCAGAAATTTCGAACGGTTTTCTCTGAAACTGCTCCGTTGCAAAGCTAGAGCGCGAAAAAGATGTGCATGCGTCGCTTGAGCTAGCATGCGCGCAACCACCCCGCTCCGAAAAATGTGACCGTTATAACGCCTTTCATCGATACCGGCTGCCGTCAGAGCACTAGATTTCCAGTATTTTCTTTTATAGCAGCTATCCGTCTGCAACTATCCGGTAGAAGCTCAGTCAACAGCTTTTGTGATGACAATCGACCTCACAGCAGGTCTTCACCATTTCTTTGCCTTGACCGGTGCAAAATTAATCTCTTGCCTCGAAACTACACAGCATGTGTCTGTGAAACTGGAGTGAGCCCGGACTCAAAGCAGTGGGCAAGCGTAGGAATCTGGAGAGAGGACGGAAGGCATATGCATACGCACCGATAAGGCGATCTTTTGCAACTCACAATTGCGGACCGTAATTTCAGGTAATTACCTGACGCGCTGTGACGTCATGTGCATAAGGTCTATAGCGCTACAAACATACATAACATAATACGAGGGTTAACATCGCTTCATAGGTTCCAAATGTTTATACTGCTGCAATGTATGCATGTATGAATAACTGATTAACTACTGTTTTTAATAATATGTTAATTGCAGGAAAATGCTCGCAATACATTGATTAAGGACACAATGAGGGACCAGTGTGTGCCGAACCTTGTTGAATCCTGGTATCAGATCATGGTATGTGTGAGCAATAATTATATATGTGACCATGTGTACACGATGCTAATCTTGACAGTTTATTAACCCTCGGCACGCATACGCAGCGAGGGTTACGGTAGTTGTCGTGTGTGTCTGTCAGTCAGTCCGTGCCACGACATCTCACTTCACGAGCCATCAATCGCTCCACAAACAATACCACGTATTCAGCGTCGGGTATAGGTCTCGAACAGTATGTGGGGTTTTCTCTGAAACTGCTGCATTAGATTAGAGAGTTACGGCGTTAAACATGAGCGAAAAAGCCAATATGCTAATTAGAACAGGCTTACCTCGAGCTGGTCCGCTTGCTCTGTTTGTCTTGAAGGCATAAGAAGTCACAACAAAGGGCCTGCATCGATTCCCGCATGCTATCTACTGCTGTAGCAGCCCGTGTCAGACTCTCCGCAAGCTACTACCAGGAGACCGTGAGTAAATGCATACTAATAGCCCAGCCTATCAATGAGCAGTACCGTGCAAGCGCAGTTCGCCGAGGGTTTGCACTTTAGTGCTTTTTCATTTTTGAGCATGCTTTGCTGTTCATAATGCAACGTTTCTCTGCGAGCATAGGGCTGCACGATGGATCTAAGTGTGCAGCCCTATGGATTTACCTATCTGCCTTATGCAACTTATCTGTAAACTTTTCTGTAACTGATTTCAAACTGTCTGACTCTGAATGCTGTGGTGCATCTGTTAGATTTCTGACTCAATTTGCGTTCTGGTGGTGTTTTTGGTCAGAAGGCATGGTTGATACGGTTACACACTTTCTGTCTTTATGAACAGCAACTTTCCAATCAGGGCACTGCTTCGTTGGAACGTCTTCTATCACAGAAGTACTGCCACCATCCACGTGGTCCAATTTATAGACCTGCACGAGTGCTGCGCGGTACGTGTCGAATGGCCGTGCAGCCTGTACGTACATGTGCCACTTGCCACGTGCTATGTGCACGCCGCCAAAACCAGTGTATGTTACCTGTATGTGTACGCCTACCCTGGCCTCATAGATATTATCTGTCTGGCCTCTGCAAAATATTCATCTTGTTGTGTGAGTGGGCGTCCAGGCAGCTTAGCTTGGATAAAAATCGCCGGAGTCGTTTTTTCCTCAGTTAACTTTAGTGGTCTGTGGTATGCTGAATGGGAAAACATTACGTGGTGATTTGCATATAGGCCTTTTCCCTCGTGTTTCATGCCATAACTATGTTAACTCCTTGGCGCGGCAGGCATATATATATATGCAGGCGCGGGCATAAGCCTTCTCCGCGGAAGGCATATAATATATGAAACTTAGATATATATATATGCCCGTACTGTCAGGAGTGCGAGCGCTTCACATTAAGGACTATTTCTCTCGCCACTCACCTCTTGCCATCTCCTAGTCTCTTTCTGTGCCTACGTACGACACTCCCCTGGCATTAGCTCATAGTTTTTCACGCTTAAACGTGCGCGAGTGAAAGTGGGCGGCTGCCTTTACAGCTGCTGAATATTCATAGTGTGCTCAAAGACAGACTGGTGCGTGTCTCCAGCTCTCATCTCCGAAGCAGCCCCTCCCCCGTTTTCCTGCGAGTCTTCTCCATAACTAGCCCCTCCCCTGTGCTCCCGGAAGAGCTCTATCAATGGCTACTAGAGCAACCCTCTCAGTTGCAGATGTTCTAGGTGAACTGGATGATGCAGAGTACGAAAGTGATAGTGAGGATGACTTCGACGGCTATGTAGACACTAGAGAGACAACAGAAACAGTGGAGCCTATAGTGGAGGATGCTGGGGCTAATGCAGAGGTATGTTCACAGAGAAGCAGTGACGATGGTGACACACTCCTTCTTTTTTATGCAGCCGTAGTCAACAGCTACACATTGTACCGCCAGCAACAACATCCACAAGGTCGCACTCTCACACATGAGCAGTTCAGAATCGAGCTAGTGAAAGACCTCTTTGCAGCCCGGTCCCACCTACTTCTGCCTCTTCTTCGTCACAGGCAAGAGGTACTCAATCCTCAGTCGCGTCTACATGAGCGACATTTTCGAGGCCAGCTCGGGAAGACTGCAACTGGAAAACAGATCCAGCAGGACTGCACGGTTTGCAGCAAGCGTAAGGACAGAGGGAGGAAAACGACAACGTTCTGCTGCAAACAGTGCCAGCTCCCGATGTGTGTGGTGCCATGCTTTGAACTCTACCACACAAAAGTAGACCCACAGCATTACCTGTAGCAGTAATATGTAACCCCTGCATTAACTGTGTTGAAGTATGTGTATCTATATCATTCATTGAAAGACCTACCGCTTCCAGGGGTGTGTATCCTTGCTTTGAATCGCAGTCCTCACGACTCTTCAGCAGGTAAGCTTGTCACTGAATCATCACAGCAGGCTGAGAGACTGGTAGAGCGCTACTACACGTGTCCAAAGGACTGCGACTGCGAAGAACCCGCACACGTGTATGCGCGCGTGGACACCCGTGGCGACACGCGTAATAATTGCGTAACTGCCAAGAGTTCACTGAGGGAACTGAGGGAAAAACGTCTCCGGCAATTTTTATCCAAGCTAAGCTATCAGACGCACCAGTTTCAGAGAAAAGCCTACATATTTTTTCCTACATGCGACCTATACCCAACCCTGAATACGTGGTATTGTTTGTGGAGCGATTGATGGCTCGTGAAGTGAACAGGCAGACAGACTGGCAGACACAACAACTACCATAACCCTCGCTGCACATGCGTGCCAAGGGTTAATAATACATTATTGTTCTATTGTAAGCTACGGTGGGTAAGAGGTGTCCGACAACAAAAATTAAATCACATGTACTCTTTCTTAGCCAATGCTACATGACAAGTAGTTGCTGTCCTCCGTACATATTTTACCCCTTACAATAGCTGAACACATGATTACTGTGTGTGTGCGTTGTATGTTTTCATTTCTCCATGCAGGAAAGCTACAAAGAAACTTTTCCAGAGCTAACAAATCTGTGTATGGAGGTAGTAGGAGCCTATATATCGTGGATTGATATTAGTCTCATTGCTAACGATAAATTTATTCAGTAAGCACACATACATGTCTGTCTTAACATAATGTTGGAATTAAACTGCAGATGCCTCATGAGCTACCTTTCAGTGCCAATTCTGAGAGAATCAGCAGCCGAGTGCCTACGTGGGATAATCAACAAGGGCATGGATCCAATTCCTAAACTAGAGTTGGTTGAGGGTCTTGCCAAACAACTAGAGAGTGCAAAGATCTTGTCTACAGTCTCTGATGAGGTGCCATGGAAAGTACTGATATTACAAATAGACATTGTTCTGGGTGCGTGGTTGATGGCCCTAGTGCTATGGCTGCCACCTGAGTATTATAACTACGGAAAGCATTATGTGTACGACGCAGGTGTGATGCCTGGGGCCACCCACTGTTTAGCATCAATTCCTGGTGTGTACGAGGTAGTACTTGGTTGTGTAAGTCATTAAATTTGAAGAAGAGTCCTTCTTTTGAAGTTTAAAGTTGCAAGTCTGTCTGTAAGGGGCGATGCTGATTGTTTTGGCAAAGATTCATGCATGTGAATTTACTTGGGACACCAACATTGATCGCACTAATCCTGCTGCACATGTGCTTGAGGTAATGTGTATTCTGCAGGGGGAAAATTGTGTGCTACCTCTGCTTGCTCAATTTATTATCATATGACATACATCAGAGCTTTTAAACTGCATGAACCCTATTTATTTTCAGTCCCATTCCGTGAGCATACTGTTATACAGTTCATCGATCTGTTCTTTGATTAGGAGTTAGGTCCTCATGGTCAACAACTTGAAACAAAAAACATGCAACTGTCTATCACCTCATTATGGGTGTTGCAAGCAAAACCAATGAAGAGCAAACATGATTTCTTGCACAGACAAAATCCCCACCCACATGTCTTAGGTCTTGTAATGAATGTGTACAATACCATCATACAATGCATGTATAATAATGTGTAACCTATGTATACTACATGTAGGATACAGATGAGGATTTCAGGTTGCGCCTCTCAGCATTGGTGTGTGGCATGGGTTGTGCTTTGGTGAATTCTTGGAGCAAGTGAGTTTTAATTGGATCTACTACATTATGTAATAGATAATGTGCATTTAGAGTTCTATACGTGATTTACGGGAACGAGGGTGTGTGGTTGAGAGACTCATACAGCACGAAACGAGTGCTCTATGGGTCTCGAGACCACAACCCCAGTTCCCGTAAGTCATGTATAGAACGATAGGATGGACATTATGTGTTTTATTGTGACTTTGCAGCAGTCGTCAACCTCCAGCGAGAGAAATATGACGGCGTGGCATACTTCCCATGCGCACGTGTGTACTCGCTAGCTTCTCGAGCCAGTTCTCTGTTCTCGAGGCTACCGCAATCGAACAAGGTCGTGATGGTGGCTCTTTCTCCCTCAGAGAAACTCGTTTCATAGGCCGTTTGACCGGTCAGTGTGCCCCGGCCACGGTCTCGCTTGCCACAGGGAGCAAGAGTGTAGAAGAGATAGCTGAATGAAAGGGTGTGGTTGCCTTAGCCATCCCTCACCTCTACAGCCTCTGCAACACTGCTGATGCTAGTTCAATATTTTTTATTGAATGTTCAATATTGGTCATATTGAATGCGTACTGCAATACGGGATATAAAAGTATGCACAGCTCCTTTGATCCTCCCACGCAAGTCACAATAAATAAATGTAACATTGATTCTCTTCTATATCTTGCTCATCAACCCTCGGCAAGCATGCATATCAAGGGTCATGGTACTTTGTTCGTGAGTGTATCTGTCTGTCTTTGCCTGCCTGTCTGTCTGCCTGTTACCACGTTTCCTGCACGCCTAAGAAATGATCCAAAGAGTAATAGTAACGGGTGCTGTGCTACACAGGCTTTATTTTTTAAAACATGAAAGTACTGCGTTCAGAAGTTATGGCGTGAAAACAAACCAATACCTCTGGCTTACCTCGACCACATTCCACCTGTTAGCGTACCGTGGAGGCGTTGGAAGTTATAACAGTCTCGCAATGCCTTTAAATTGCTATCCAACCCGTTTCAAACTCTTAGCTAGAGACCATGACACATGTAAATCGACAGCCTAGCCCAGCCCAGCCCATCAATTAGTAGTACCAAACAGTGCATGCGAATGGGTGCAATATACTCGACATCCGGCACAAGTCTTGTGCGCCAAAGGTTTCATTTGTAACTATTACTGAGCCAAAACTGTACCTGTGCTGCATGTTAAAATTTAGACATCTACTATTATGGAAAAGTTTAAGTTTAATTTGGCCTCAGCTATTGCAATCCAGTAGAGAACTACGTATAATAGGCATTTGTATGTGTTATTTCATGGGTACCTGTTTATTTCAGATTGGTGAAAAGGGCAGACACTGTAAACATTCCATTGTCACGGAATGCCATAGATGAGAAACTACCTTATCTCTACAAGTAATGCAGAACTTTAGTAGTGATGTTATGAACTGTTGTGACTCACAGCTTGATTCTTACCTGTCCTTTGCATTTCACTTTCTTTATCGATTAGTAGTTGTATATACTGTCCTTTTTTATGCACCCAGGCCCTTCACTTTTGTTTCTGTATGCTTGGCTGATGTTTTCAGTGGTTGGTGTTCCATCCTATGTATTGCAGGTATCTGAATGATACAGATGATGGAGTATCTGAAGCTATGGTTCCCTTTGCAGTACAGTATCTAAGTATTCTAAAGGTTTGAAATTGTCCATAGATTAGGTATCTCAATAATGAATGCTGCAGCAGGGTTCCAATTTATCTGATACTGATCGAGGAAATCTTCAGGCACTTCTTCAGGTCGTGATTAACAAATACAAGTATGACGAGGATCACAACTTTTTATCTCAGGCAAGTCTGTTTACCCAATGCGCGTGTCTGCGCTTACGCACTTACACAGCTCATGTATCACACTTTTATACCTATTCACTGATGAATCTAGCACCTAACCTTTTTAAACCTCAGCTTGCATGCACAGCGACAGTTATTATGGTCTGTCTGTCTATTGCCACGTTTCTGCCACAACCCGCAACGAAGCGATGCTAACTGTTTCAACACTATATTCTAAATTGCCAATTTTTATACTGGAGTTCCATGCCCATGCGTGGTACCGCTAATCGTGGTCTGTATGCTAGCTGGCGGAGAGTTTGATGCGGGCTAGCTACACTACTAGATAGCATGCGGGAGTCAATACATGCCTTCCGTTGTGACATGGCGCCTCCAGGGTGCACAGAGCAAGTGGATAAGGACGAGGTAAGCCAAGTGTGATTATGCGTATTGGCTCTTCTCTTGTTTTCACGGCATATCTCTCGAAAGAAGTCGTTTCAGGAAAATCCCCTCTTTAATTTTCAGGCTTGCGTAGTTCTGAAGCCTCACTAATAGGCTGCCCCGTCGCCTGTAGTGCCAGAGTAAGCGTCGACAGACACACACACACACACACACACAAAACAAGTACTGTAACCCTCACTGTGCATGTGTGCCGAGGGTTAATAACAATGCTGCGGAGAATCTCGGAGTGAACTAACTGAACAGGCAGAACTTTTTTGATGGTCTTGAGCTGACCATCGTCTCTGGCCAGCAATCATTTACCAACATTGAATAGTTTTCAAAGCGCTGTAGTATGTGTAGCGGATGGTCATGCATTATTCATCATGCACTTTGAATTCACTCATCACACAACACGTCATTCAAGAACATTCTATTCCGTCGGTATATGAATGTAGTGTCATTGTACTGATTATCAGTTCTTGCCGAACCCACATCGGTGACTACGTACGAATGGCTGCCAAACAGGGCTTTTCAGGCCCAGTGTAGGGAAGGACGGCCCAGATGTGTATATACACTAGGGCTAGTATGTGAACTTGTATAGTATAGCTGTGCAAGGCGAGGGACAGGCTACAGTTGTGAGTAGAAAAAAAGCTTTTATCCCCAGAGTGTTTCTATGGACAGCCGTCAGCCTAAGTTTTACAGTAGGTTTCGTTACAGCCACATCTTAGGCCTTTGCATAGTGTTTTAAGTACGTCAAGCAGCGCTGAGTTTAGACCTGCCTCTCGGACCATCTTCATACCTTGTCTATTCCTTTTAAATGTTGGCAGTACTTGAAGTACAAAAGGGAATTGCTCTACACTTATAAAGGTGATGGAGACTGACTCTAGACTCTGACATACTATGTAAACCACACCTCTCATTCCTTTAGTATGCGTACAGCACTACCTTCGTTGCTTTAACTGCAATGTTTTTGTCGTGCACTTTTGTCTAATATAAGGTGTACTGTGTTTCCTAGGACTATCGCATGCCTACGTGTGATGGTCTTTCTCAGTCTTTTGGAAGGTGTGTGGAGACTTGCGTGTTTTAAGTCTATTACATACATCTTTAGGGAGAAGATGAGGTCATGTTTCTTGACTTCCGTAAAGAACTGAAGGTATTAATTGACAACATTGCAATCCTGGTAAGTTTATTCAACATAAATTTCTCACAACACTAAATGAATAGTAATGCTTTTTGCATTTTACTTGAGAAGCACTATTGTATCGTGGACCATGTGGGCGGTGTGTCTCATGCTTAATGTGCACACAGTTACTGGGTTTGTGTGTAGGTATCATTTAAGTACACTTACTGTTGTAACAAGAGTTTTGAGCATGCTTGTAGAAATCGCTTCACTCTTTCAACTCAGGATGCATCATTGCTGCTGCAAACCTTTCAAAGTGTTCTCTCGACATTTCTTTCAAATCTTGAAGTAACATCTTTTGTAGATGTTGAAGTGGCTCTACGAATGATGTACCTTGCAGGAGAAGCTGTCACAGATAAGGTACGTATATGTGTAACTGTCTGTAAACTCTAGATCATGTCAGAAAGTGATCTCTAGGATTGCCAGGTACTGTCCCAGGTTGGCTGCTGCCTAGTACCGTTTGTGTCTTGATCACCTTGTGCAGATTGAAGACAACCTTCACTATCTCACCTAGGCTTAAGTATTTACTGTTAGGATCAAAGAACACGATCAAAACATAATCAATACAGCAAACATGGTAATGAAAAGCACTGAAGTGCAAACCCTCGGCGCATTGTGACGCGCACGCGTGAGTAAACGCATGCGCTGTATCACTAATTGATGGGCTGGGTTTAGTTCTGGCCATCTCGCGCAGAGTCTGACGCGGGCTAACTATACACTACTAGACAGCATGCGAGAGGCGATACACGCCCTGCGTTGCATCTTCTGGTGCCTCCGAGGTCGCAGAGCACGCGGATCGATCAGACCGCGGTAAGCCATCCCGTCCGTTGCGTATTTGCATATTGGCTTTTTCGTGCTCTAGCTTTGCAACGGAGCATTTTCAGAGAAAACAGCCTTTATTTTCTGACCTTCGTCGCCCGTTGGGTAGATGGTATCGTTTCTGGGACGAACAGACGTTCGAGGAGTGAGATATAGAGTAACAGACAAACAGACAGACAGACAGACCCAACTACTGTACCCTCGCTGCGCATGCGCGCCGAGGGTAATAACGTGGGAACTTTCTTCCAAAATCTTTTATCATGTTCAGTAAAGCATGCATTTGCTTGCCCACATCTGTGTGTATTGTCTATAAATACTTTTTTATACAGAGGTTTGGCACCTGTACCATCGTTGGATCCCCATGGCACCAGATGATGATTACTGTAAGACCACTAGTGTAATAGGCATTAAAAAAAGGGAAAAAAGAATTATGTAGATTAATGTACTGAAAGATTGATTGTTGAGTAGCTAATTGTGTGTAATATACGTAGATTCTGGACCATTGGCCTTAATTCCAGGAAGGGAGACTGTGGTAGTTCAACTGCAATGATATGGGTAGTAGGCACAATGGCTTCTTGTGTTTTCTAGGTCATTGGGCTAATAGCCAGCATGATTTCAGCCAATCCCAAATGCCCTTAGACCATCTCTCAAAAGTGTATGTGCACGTTTTGAGACCATAACATTTTCAAAGCTCTCCCCAAGGTATGTAGTGCTGGTATTCTATTGCACTGTAAAATCTTCCTCTGTGTTCAGAGGAGTTTGCATATGGTGAGATTTGTATAAGTAAGTCAGTGGGTGTTTAGCACTTCAGTTCCCACTTTATAGGACTATATTTGAGCCCTAGCCCTGCCCCTTGCCACCTCATAAATAAGGCAAACTACAAACTGGAAAGAAGCTATTGTGCTTATTGCTTGTGTTGATCCATTACAGTCCTGTTAAACTACTCACCCTGAACAAAGGCCTATAGATAGCTCTTCCTGTATGCACACACTTCTCTCCCATATGAAAGTTAATAGACCTGTTTTTTAAACCATTGGACCATAGGAATCCCTGCTTCAGTCCATATTCAAAGTCATGCGGGATTTAGCTTTAATGTATAACCTTTTTGGGTAATGTTCTTCATTACAGGTATGCACTCTTTTAATGCAGGTCATGCAGAGTAATGTTGCCCGTCACAGTCATACAGCTGTACTACTACAAGTATGTACGTGAAGACATGCAACATTAGTTTGTTCTATTACAAAGTTAGATGATTGTCTTGAGTAACATCTGACATAATGCATGTCTCGCTTCGATTGGACCGTTGAATGGCATGTTGAGTTACATAATCATCAACTACGCACATTACGTGAGTTGACACTTCACAGCAGATCTGCCGAGCTGTCGTGTTAATTTTGATTGCAACTGCTTCCGACCATGTAGACATGCAGGTACTACACCTGAAAACAGAGGGCTTGCATCCTTTTCGAATGTCTGAGGCATTGCAATTACTTCGCTCGCTTCTTGCTGCCTATGTGTGCAATCACGAAGTCTGCTGGTCAACATTTTTCATTGTTCGTAGCTCGTAACCCATGTTCATAACCTGTGTTTCTTATGGTGTACTATGCATTAAGTAACCAACAACAAATTTCGTGACTCGAAACTTAGTCTGATATGAAGTAAAAAGGCTAGAATTGCTTACCTGAAAGTTAGAGTGTATTTTGTTTATTTCGGCAAGGTCCGCCATTTTGATTCTACGACTGAAACAGATGTTTTTTTCGTCATATCTGTGCTTTTCACACGATCTTGCACGGACACGCACACACGGGTATCAATAGAGAAGCATTGCGCATACAACCGACCCAGCAGTCTAAGCCACCGTCCACGATATACGAGAGCACTATCCACTGTCTTAGTTCTGGTAGTTTTTTTCGCAATAATTTTTTACAACTAGCATATCGCCATTTTTACAAGTTCCAGGTGTGCTAATATTATTACAGCTACACTACACTCTTATCGCTCCAGTAATAACACTTGTTCTGTGCCAAAGGTTTTGACTTTAGTGCTATTCAGTCTGTATTAGAAGGGAAGAAAGTGACCCCTTGGCATATGTGCCTGTGTTTTAGCACCCTGTGCTACAGCGATAAGTGAATGCATTGTCATGACAGGATTGATTACAAGGCAACTATCTCTTTTCCTGCAGTTCTATGAGAATGTTGTTAGATATGAGAAGTTCTTTACCCTGGAGACGCAATATATTTTGCATGTGATGGTAAGTTATTGTTTCATAGGTTCAATCGTGTGCCACTTGTACTGTTTGATTAAAACCCATTGTTGGGTAAGATTGCCAAGTTAAGAGATCATGTTAACTGAAAACCCTGCACACAACAAAACATTTACCCTTGTGCTTGTGTACTGATGAAATAATGGACTATCCAACGCTCTGCCTGACACTCTAATATGCATTTGTCTTATGCACAGACCCATGCATTATAAATGTTATGATTTTTGTATGTATAGTTCGATACTATCTTTGTGAAATACAATAGGGTGTCTTCTTGGGTGAACAAGGTCTTCGACATGAAAACTGCTCAGTCCGAAGCCGTGTGTGCTACTTGTTTGTCAGATTTGTCAAAGGTGTTAAGTAAGTCATATAAGTGCTAACATGGATGGGTTTTTTCCCTATTTTATGGTTAATTGCTGATCTAGCACTTTAAACACAATCACTTCACACTAGCCATTAAGCATTTTTAACCCTCGGCACGCAAGCGCAGCAAGGGTTACGGTAGTTGTCTTGTGTGTCTGTAGTCAGTCAGTCCGTTTTTCGACATCTCACTTCACGAACCTTGAATCACTGCACAAACAATACCACGTATTCAGCGTTGGGTATAGGTCGAAAAGTATGTAACGTTTTCTCTGCAACTGCTGCATTCAAGAGATAATTATGGAGAGAAACCTGAGCGAAAAAGCCAATATGCTAATTACAACAGGCTTACCTCGAGCGGGTCCGCTTGCTCTGTGTATGTTAAAGGCACAAGAAGTCACAACGAATTGCGTGTATCGACTCCCGCATGCTATCTACTACTGTAGCTAGCCCGTGTCAGACTCTCCGCGAGCTACACTACTAGTGGGAGACCACGAGTTATGCATACTAATAGCCCAGCCAATCAATTAGCGGTACCGCGCGTGCGCAGTTCGCCCAGGGTTTGCACTTTAGTGCTTTCGGATTTAACCATTTTTCAGTAATGGTCACATCCTGCAGGCTGTTTCCAAACCTAGCTGTCCATGTATAGGTTTGATGATGGCAAGTATGCTCTATGAGCACGCAGAGCATACTTGCCATCATCAAACCTACTTGGTATATGTTTCTCCCGCACAATGCCTGAATTCTCTATATGGAAAGCAAAGTGGGTGTTGATTAGGGAGTGACTCAGCCCTCTGCTGTTGGTGTTAGTACCGCTAAGTGGGTGCTACTACTGGCCAATTAATCCATACCCTATGCTGGGGTAACATACCAATTGTGCTGGAGAAACGTATACCAAGTAGGTTTGATGATGGCAAGTATGCTCTGTTCGCGCTGCGCGCTCATAGAGCATACTTGCCATCATCAAACCTATACATGTAATTGTGTGCATATGTAGCTGATAATAGTCACTCTGCATCATCTACAGAATTACGTGCTCTACAGATTTACTTATACTGGCTTGCTATTTTTAAAGGAATCATATGGGGGCAATTGCTAAGGATGTATTGCTGACTCTTCAGGATCTACTTATACTTCCACCAGTCAGGTTTTCCTTTTGCATATTTCTGTTTAATAGTAATAATTTGTAGCACAGTGCGTGGGTGTATGAAATGCGCCGACAGCACCATGATAAATGCCATATTACAAACGACCGTGCTCCATTTTTCATGCGGTTGGAAAAGATAGAACGGTTTAGCAAGGTAAGCGCTCAAAAGTACCAGGAATATACTTGCAGCTGCACCAGACTACCTCCGTCTCCACTACATACACGGCAAGCCGTGGGGAGAACGCTGTGCTCTCTAATTAGTGCAAACTTACAAATTCTGCGTGCAGAAGGGTCCCTACGGTCAGTCTTCCTTGCTTACTCATACCAGTGTTCGTGCGCAGTAAGCAGCAGCTGCAGTAGGCTGGAACGCTATCGCTACGGGAGACTTCAGCCGCCCAGTTGTGCTACAGACCAGTTGAAGCACCATTTGTGCTCGTATAGTACTACAGAAGTTATTGAACTCAAATGTGGTCGAGAAGCGGATAAGGCACGCGGCGTAATTCCCGTGCTATATTAGCAACAGTGCTTTAACTAGTACAAGCACAGTAAAAAAAATCAGCTCGAACGAGTGAATATTTGGTCATGTGGTAAACTACTAAAGAGCTGGTGGAAAGTGGGAGACTACGGCCACCGCCTTGGTGCGCATGCTGCATATTGTAGTCGGTGAGTGTGTCTGTTCCCAGGATATCGGATGTCTGCTTTCCAAGTAAAACTAGTGAATGATTCTATGAGCTTATAATGATAGGCCATTACCGTGAAGGCTCTTGCTATTTCTTCTGAAAGCGAACCTGCTCACCACTTTAGAACTTGCACATTTAAATATTGTGTGGCATTAATGGACATGTATGAACAAAACGGTCAGTTTGCTGTAAATGGAAAAGTTTTCTGTCGTATAATTTATGCTTGCAGATCTCAGGAGTCAACAAGGGGTACTTATCTGGAAATGATATGGTACGAACGTTTCCACTATACACGTATCTATCTCTATTAATAGTGGATAACTAGGAGGGATGAAGACACATAATGCACTAAGAACACAAGGGCACTTGCAGATGCCCTGTTTGATTACTCCTATCTTGTACATGTTCTGTACATGTTAATTATGCGGGTGTAACTTGCTAATCTTCTACTGTTTCCCTAGCCTTTTCCCAGGTATTCCCACTTGTAACTGGCTACCTTCTCCCCCCAGGCTCTAACTCACGTCTTCCTTTTGAGCAGACCTTCCCCGCTAGTAACTCTCCCACATGTGCAATGATCATGCCACATTAACTATTTATAAGCTACCTTTTTTGCAAGATTTAAATTGCATTTGGTGAGCTAAGATTTTTTTCTTGTAGATGTTTCTTTATGAAGCAGCAGGAATCCTTGTAGTGGCATCACTCTCTCCACCTGAGGTAAATAAAACACAGTTTAGTTTGTTCTCTATTATCTATGCTACAATAATTGGATGTCTCTCCCATGCCATGGGAAGATTATTCCTATTACATAAACCTGGGATTGACCTTCAGTAATATCTTCTCGCTATTCCATGCGAACACAAAGCAGTCTTCTCTATAGTGCTCTCTGCAGAGGAATGAGCTATCCGTAGCCTTCCATTTTGTCCACGTCCATGATGAAACTTGATGGTACCCTTACTTATGTACTTGCTCTTCCCGTAACTGAATCTACACTGTTCCTAAGACAATGTGTATTACTTAAAAGAGTATCCTTTGTGGTGTTTCGATTAGCCACTTATTTTGTATTGATGGGTGTAACATAGCAATAGGTACTCTCTGACTGAAGCTTGTTAACAAGATGCGTATGAGCTTGACGTAACGCTTACTCAACTTACTTGCAGTAGTCCCCGCTCTTTCAACCTCTTCGGTGGACTGTAAAAGGCTATCAACGTTGGTCAGGAAGGGGTCTCTATTGCTTGTACAGAGGCATTTTGACTGCGAACTTGCAGCAGCTGTACAGTTCCGAGTTCAACTGACAGACATGTATATACCTTGCAAAATGGTCGTATTTTTGCCGTACGAAATTTTGCAGCCTATGAACATTTGCATCAAACGCCTTTGAGATCTGTCTGTTTATCCAGATGTTTCTCCTCTTCGCACAGGAGAAAGGTGCCCTGATGACTCAGTTGCTTAATCCTTTGGTCCAGAAGTTTCCTATCTACTTAAACGAGGTGTAGTTACATACACACTGCGTTTTAGAATCCCTCTCATCTTCTCTACGTATGGGTTGTGTCTGGCTGTACAAATCAAGCTCTATTGTGATTCTGAACTATACTACAATAAGCACAATAAGTGTTGTAATCACCCTGTGTATTCATTACCCTCGGCGCGCATGTGCAGCGAGGGTACAGTAGTTGGGTCTGTGTGTCTGTGTGTCTGTCTGTCTGTTACTCTACATCTCACTTCTCGAGTGTTTGTTCGTCTCACAAAGGAACGGGCAATGAAGGTCAGAAATTTTGAACGGTTTTCTCTGAAACTGCTCCGTTGCAAAGCTAGAGCGCGAAAAAGCCAATATGCAAAGATGTAACACAGGGCGTGTATCGCCTCTCGCATCTAGTAGTGTTGTTAGCCCACGTCAGACTCTGCGCGAGCTGGCCAGAGACACGAGTAACAGCTAAAACTAAACCCAGCCCATCAATCAGTGGTATGGCGCATGCGTTTACTCACGCGTGCACGTCACAATGCGCCGAGGGTTTTGCACTTCAGTGCTTTTCATTTAGATGGTTAAAGTAAACAATATAGTGTGCAGCACGCGTGCCAGGCGAGGGTTGTGGTACCTGGTCCGTCTGTCTGTGTTTGTTTGTCTGTCTGTCTGTCTGTCTGTCTGTGTTTTTTGTCGTAGTGTAGCCCATGTCAGACTCCGCAAACTATGAGCAGAAGTACCACACGTAAAAACATAGTCATAGCCCAGCCCATCAAATAGCGGTAGCACGCATGCGCAGTGTGCCGAGGTTTTGCACTTTAGTGAGGTTATTCTCTGTAATTCTCACAGCTCTCAACTAAACAAAAAGCTTCTGAACAAGAAGTGTTGGTGCACGTCCTGTGTAACATTCTCTCTTTTGCCAGGTTAGTCACTGTGTGGTAATCAGCAATAGTTATACAGGCATTTGTGTGTAGCCGTGCAAGTAAAGTGTTCACCAATCACCAGATGGCAATTCAGAATGGTTGCTTGGGATGTTTCTCAGAGGTACGTACATATGTACATACTCACAAAATGCAACTACTACCTGCACACTTATAGCCCTTGCCAGTGTTCTTAAAAGGTCTGGAAGTGAGAGTTCAGTGCTCACAACTTCAGGCAGGAGTTAGACAATACCTTCACCGCATGATTATATGTCTCGGTGATGAGCTTCTGAAATATGTTCCAGTCGCTGTATCACTTCTTTTAACAGACTGCAAGGTACATTTTGAACTGTACACCTTTATATATTCTTGCTACAAAATACCTTGCAGTCACAAGAGATTCAAGAGTTTATTCCTTTGATAAATCAGCTCATTACGAAGTACAAAGAAAGAATATCTCCTTTTCTGCAAAATGTGTTTATGCCAGTTGTGCAGACAATTGTGACTTGTCTGAGCACGCCATTTGATCCCAATGATATGGAGGTAGGCCATTTCTAAGTATGCGTGTCTTGTGTTGTGTTGTAGATTCGAACCTCTACCAGCTGAGTTGCCCTGGTAGCTCAGTTGGTAGAGCACTTTGTCATGGGTTCGAATCCCACCTAGGGCAACTCATGCACAAAACGAACTGTCCTGAGTGTAGTTGATTTTTTGCCTTTGCCTTGCTACCTCACGTCGTTTGTTCACACATGTTTATATAGATCAGGACCTTAGCTAAATTGGTGTTGTATATATAATCTGCATTCATCCCTTTGACCAAATGCTGACATTAATGTTACAGCAGAGTGAAAAACTATCATTGATTTGTCCTCTATAGGCTCTTCGAGACCACCAGAGTTTGCAGAAATGCTACTTCTTGTTCCTAAACTCACTGGCTACAAACAATGTCACAGAAGTCATTGCGAAAGGTATTTATTGTTCATGATCCTGGCAAGCTAATGCATTTCCTTATTGCTGGGCCCAAGTGGTGCAGCTATGGGAGTACTTGAATACGCGTAATCATTGCATACGGTACTTTGTATGTCTGTCATTTTCTGCCACCGTGCAGGCGGCCAAAAAGCAGTACCAATGGGTTTAGCTTGATTCAAAGTATTATACTGCGTTCGAAAGTTATGGCGTAAAAACCAATGAACAAGCTAATATACCTCGACCAGATCCATTTTCTTTGCATACCTTGGTGGCACCGGAAGTTACAACCAGGAGCAAATATTTCTTTGCCTACCATGTATTTTTTCTAATTAATGTGCCAGCCGCTTTTGGGGTTCAATTCTGAGCACAATAGGCTTGCTTGTGAAGCTGCCCTGGACTGGAGGTCTCGGTCTACCGCAAAACTCTTGTGCACAGTCGGATCATGATATGTACGTTCCAAACCAACGCGCCAGAAAAAAATATGATGAATAAATGAAATTTACAATTGGCGCACTTTTAGAATGGGAAAATAACTGCTGCGCTTGATTTGGCGCTTTATAAGAGCGCCGCGTTAATTAGAAAAAAATTACGGTACCTTGGAGGCACAGGAAGTTACATCCAGAGGCGAATATCAAGTCCCACATGTTATCTACTAGCCAGTTTCAGACACAGAACAATTGACAGCGTAGCCCAGCAATTAGTGCATGGTTTTGGAATATACTTAAAAGCGTGCCATTTTAGTGCTATGTACCAGTGCAACAAAATCCTTGCCTCTGTAGTGAGGTGTGTTAACTAAGTACTTGCCCTACTACACACCTTCTCATTCTACATAATAATAATAATAATACTCAGGTGGCTGCCATAGCACTAGGGCCATAGACCACGCACCCAGAGCAATGGGCGGAACCGTTAACACACGAAACATACACCATATGAACATGAGGTGTCTGTCTCACCTCCCAGACACCTCAACTCACACCTTCCACCAGGGACACCCTGCAGCTCCCCAGACGCAATCTGAGACTGGGTTTGTTGTACACAGGGACTATCGCCGTATAACCTAACCTTTCTTAGCTCCCAAACATCCAAAATAAAATCTTTAACAAGGCCAAGCAAAGAACCAGAATTATCCTCCCACAGTTCACTACCCAATATAAAGGATGCTTTCCTGAAACTATCAAGCGACTGGAAATGCTCAAACCCATCATCCCCAAGCTTCCCCTGCAGGGCAACTAAGAAATTGCTCCTAAGACTACTATATGCTGGACACTCCCACAACACATGACTCACACTTTCACACTCATCATCACACAACAGGCACTCTTTCACCCCCTCCCTCCCCCTATGCCTGCCCAGTTCCTCATTTAGCCCATGCGTGCCTGACCTGAACTTAAACATTAATCTAGACCCAGCATCACTTTTCCCATGCAAGTACTTTTTGAACTCTACCACCTTGTTAAATGTCTTATACAATAACAGCTTTACTTTGCTATTTAGCCCCTCTTCAAACTTTCTAATCTCCCTCTCATTAATACTGTCCCCTATTATAGACAAAAAGCCCTTCAAGGAGCAATTAGCCAGAGGAAAATGCATGGAGACCTGACTTGCAAGATGCACACACAGTTCACAACACATGATGCATAGGTTTGCATGTAGAATATGACGTTCCTACACACCTGTATACTAAATGCGAGTTGCCTCATGCTAGGGGCAATAACAGGCTTTGTACTTTGTTTCATGCTCTATGTAGGAGCTAATGACTTGGAAGAGGTGTTGGGCACACTGGTACAAGGAGCCATTGCTTTTCCAGACCCAATGGTACGTATGTCATCTGTAACAAATTCCAAAATGATCATTTTTGAGTATTTTTTAGGTTCAAAAATTGTGCTTTGGAGTTCTTCGTCGTCTCATTGAAGTGTGGGGTATGCCGTTAGTGATTCATACTCTAACTTTATTTGTAAGAAGATATATTCATCACACCTGAGCAAGGTTACTGCTCAGCCCTAGCTGTTATATTCATGTGGTCATGCACGCAAAATAAACCTTATGCTGCCACTCTTAATGCAGCGATAAAGACGAGTAAAGTCTACATAATTTTCCCAGTCGTTCCACCAAGTAACAGTACACGGAGGTTTATTGAAAAATGAGTGTGTATACGTACACAAATTCTTTTGCATAATCAACGGCAGCAACATTTCCAGTTAGTTTCTGGAGGCTTGTTTTGAGAAGTTAGCAACTCCCTGCAAAAAAAACTGTGCCAGCGGTTGTATACAGAGTCTACACATACCATGTTTCAAGCTGCTGGAGCGTCGCTTTTCGGCAGTGTATACAACCACAGGCACAGTTTTTGCAGGGAGACACTTCTCAGAGAAAGCATCCAGAACTTACCAGAAGTTTATTTGCCGTTGATTACACAAGAATGCAGTCGTAAAAGCTACTTCTGATTTTCATCTGAGATTTTAAGATAGCTAACACTACAGCTGTGTGATATTGACTAGTGTACGGAAACAGGGCATGTGCATCGCTGATTCTAGCCTTTTGCTTTTTGGAGTAGCCTACAAAACTGCTCTGCAAGCATCCATAGCGGCATCAAGCTCTAACTGAAGAGACTTAGTAGTGAGATTTAGAGATATTTACAGCAATTTAGAACTAGTGACTGGTGCATCTCACGATTAGTTTGGAGCAATGGTGTATTGAAGGTCATTACCTAGGACAGAACATCCCCATTTGCTCGAGTAGGACTGTATTATTGCCTTCCCTACTGTATTCTTCCACCTCTACCTAGAGCGCACGTAGTCATCTGAATGTTGCATTTTTATATGTATTTGTAACGACCAATTGACTCACACAGTACATACTGTAATGTTATGCATCATTCTTAATACGTGTGAACTGCTTGCTTTGCTTGCCAGGAATGCTTTGCATATGTATGTTCTAGTATTATAACTCCAGACTTTTTAACATTTCACAGCGCGAGAAGGTGTCATGCCTGGATTTGTGGAATATATGTACAAGAATATTCTTCCGGCATGCTTTCATGCCCCACTAAAGCCAACTTTCAATCTCGATGACGGAAATACATTCATAGTACGTAAGTGCACATAGAGCACTTTGTAATGTATGCAGTGTACCTAGTGCTACTACCCTGCCACAGGCACTTCACAGTACATGTTGAGTGCAGCAACCTTTTCCCGACACAGCTGTCGAGCTCCGCCTCCTTTTTCTCTTGGCATCACATGGTGTAATATCTTCATGCATTCGCGTGAGGGCCGTCATTCACGAGATGCGATGGCTTCACTGTGAAGATCTTTCTTCTAACACCTGCGTGGGTACTGCCTACTCGTTGTTTCGCGTTTGCGCTAAGAAAAAACCTTGTTTCGCTCCCCCGCAAGCATGTCTCTACCGCGTTTGCGGAGGGCGTGTCACGCAGAATTCACAACTGAACGGCAACTGAACGGAAACGGAACAGAACGATAATGAACGGCAAACGGAAAGAAACGGAACGAAATTGGAAAATTTTTTTGACTCCTACTCTATATAGCTATGATGTGTATTTTCGGTCTTACTTTCGATGTATGTTATCAAAACAAGGATGTTCATTAACTATATAACTGCCAAAACTATTGCAGAATCTTGACCCCTACAAGAAGCTTACACGGTGGCAACAGGAATAAACAAACTTTCTTACATATAAGTATCAATTACATTTCGTATAACAGTAGGAAGTGGTTAGGGATATTAACGGATTAGGACCCTCCTGAGAGGCATTAAAGGTATTATCTTGATTTGCGTGGCTGGTGAGAAAGTGTGTGTTTCCCTCCCAGGGAAGGATCCAAATCATACTACATTAGGATTAGTGGGGCTGAATTATGCGCAATACTACCCTCATAATTGTGTATATAGCTAACCGCTGTAGCAACTGCATGTAAGTGGTGGAGTGGCTAACGAATGTGTGTGCTAAACAGGAGGTCCCTGGTTCTACCCCGGCTGGTTTACTCATGTTTTCTCTGTGTATGACGTTATGTAGTGATGTATGGGCGCATATGTGCCCCTTCGGCCCCAAGGAGTTAAAGACAAACACACAACCATACTGTGTACCGCATACACAGTCACATATATGTTGTAGGTAAACAAACCTTGAGAGTAGGAGTGGTTTTGTGCAGGCCATCCATGGTGGAAGATTTTTAATATCATGCCGCAGTGATTGAGTGCGACTCCAGTAGACATGCTGTTGTGAGAAGTGAAGTTTTCAAGTTACACTCTAATTCTCATTCTTGCTTCTCGCTTAATCTGTGTATATTTTACAGGTACTTGGTGAAATTGCTGGAGTTTTAAAAGCTATCATCAATACAAGGGTGCATAAAATATGGCAGATTAGACGTGTAACATTCATATTTTACTATAGGGTGGAGAAGGGGTCTTGTATCTGCAGAATACTTACCTACCTTGCATAGAAATGACTCCTCCTCTTATAGAGGTATGTTATGAGTGTATGAAGAATTCAAGTCTTCTGACTTCATGGCCCTGATGTGTGTTGTTATTAACCCTCGGCACGCTTGCGCAGCGAGGGTTACTGTAGTTGTCGTGTGTGTGTCTATCCATTACCCTGACATCATGAATCGCTCCACAAACTTTACCACCTATTCAGTGTCGGGTATAGGTCGAATAATATGTAGCGTTTTCTCTGAAACTGCTGTGTTCGAGAGTTACGACGTGAAGCACAAGCGAAAATGGAAATATGCAAATTACAACTGGCTTACCTCGACAGCTTTCTGCCTGTTCGCGTACCGTAGAGCCAGTGGAAGTTACAACGGATAGCGAATTGTTGAGTCTCGCTATGCCTAAAACGCCATCTAATCTGTGTCAGACTCAGAGTTAGCTAGAGACCGCGACATGAGTAAGCGTAGCCCAGCCTGCGGTACCGACACCTGCTTGCATAATGCAGACATCCGTGTGCATCTATATAGTGCGCCGGGGGGTTGCACTTTAGTGCTTTTCATTGCAACTGTAATAGCACTGACTCTCCTGCAAGCTAAACCTTCAACGCCATAGGTACAAACTAATAGAATAGGGTTGCGTGTGGAGGCCATTCTTACAGAAATTTATGCAACCAGGCCATGCCAGCTCTTACTGCGTTACACCCAATTTAATCCTTGGCAGAGAAAGCTATGTCAATAGGGTAGCGTAGGAATGGAGCTCCCTGGGAAGACTACGGTTGC